GGGGGGTGTTGACGTGTGCATGCTTGTTATGCATTTTATCCCTATTATCCTTAGTTTTCCTTTTGTTTTGGTCCTCAACGTTTATATGTCAAAAACGCTTTCACGCTTTTGTTAGTTACTCTTTTGCTTTTTATGTCAAGCGTGTGCTATGCACGTGTAAGTTTTCTGATTGGTCATTATGGATCATGTATATGGTGTGTGTGAGGCTTGTCTTCCTCATTAGATCAAAAACTTGTAAGCTCAATTTACAGAGCTCGATTTAATGGAAAAAATGTTTTCTCGATTTGCTGTCGCATTTTATCTTCTCCCAGCTTCTTCCTAAATTCTACAGTTAATTTAACATCAAAAAAAAAAAAAAAATATGTCCAACTGCTCTGACTTATTTCTAATGGCGGGGATGAATGTGAATTTAGTTTCCACTAGATAAAAAATATTTGTGTAAAAAATATAAAATATAAAATTTTTAAAATTGATGACTGTGTGAGTATATATAGGCAAAATTTTACAATTGGTCCTATAACTTGGCCATAGTCCAAAAAATCACCCCTATGTTGACCACTTTCAATCTAAGTCTTATAATTTGTCCATTTCATCAAATTTGGTCATTTTTTATCCATACACAGAATAAAAAAAGTGACGTGGCGTTTTGAAATCTGACATGGCATTTTTTTATCTGACATAAGCGTGATGTGGAGGCTACATTTGTACTTTAATTAAATTAATTAGGCCATGTAGGAATAATGAGTTTTTTTATTAAAATTAAAACCTAAAAAACAAAATATTAAAACAAAAACAAAAAGAAATAAAAAGAGGGATTGTAGAGCATCCGTCGGCTTCTTCCTCCTAATTCCAGGTTCTCATTCTATTTCTTCCTATGCACATCTCTTGTGGGAGAGTCCGTCTACTAGCCGCTCGTTTAGCGTCCAGCAACAGCACCACCACTGCCGCGGTCAAGGCCGCCATTTTCAAGAGCTCCGCTCCTTGATATCCGCCGGAAAATTGGGTTGCTGTAAAATTCGTAGGACCTGGAAAATTGAGATGGTGGATATCGTTGGGTTCACGACGGTCCGAGGAATCCAGATGTGTCCACGGATTTCGGTGGGTCGGAGTAAATCGCCGGAATTTTGATGAAGAAAACAGAATTTTGACCGGATCTAAACACTTTGACCAGAGCAATTAACGACCTTACAAGTGAATTTTTTTGCCGGAAATACTATGAGGTTAACAAGGATGACAAGAGCTTCAAGATGATATAGAAAAAAAATCGATCGGATGAGGTCGGTCGGCGGCGACGGCGGAGGAGGAGGCGGCAGATGAATAGAGATAGCAGGGTACGAATAAGGGCTTATGTGGATTTTTTAAATTTAAGTAAATATTTCCTAATCCTGACAGGTAAAATATAGTCACGCCATGTCAGATTTCAAAATGCCACGTCACTTTTTTATCCGCGGTATGGATAAAAAAGGGTATGGATAAAAAAGGACCAAATTTGATAAAATTGACAAATTATAGGACTCAGATTGCAAGTGGTCAACATAGGGGTGGTTTTTTGGACTATGGCCAAGTTATAGGACCAATTTTGAAATTTTGGCAGTATATATAAAACAACAACAATAATACTTCACATACAACACACATCCATGGTTACATATTCAAGCGAACTAAAGCGAAACGAGCACACACACCATCAAACTAAAGCGAAACAAGCACACACACATATATACCATCATGCGCATGCTCCGTTGTATGCATGCTTTTTTATTTATAATTTTATTTTCTTTTATTTTACATTCTCAAACACATCACACAAACACACAACGCGTGCGGTTATTATCTTAGTTTCAAGGCTCGGCATCCGCCTTCTGACCGGCATACTCGCAGCAGTACCTGCAACCGCCACCATAGTATCTCCGGCCACAGCATCCGTAGCGGCAGTAGCCACCACGGCCGCCACCATAGCCGCCACGACCACCACGGCCGCCGCCTCCATAGCCACCACGTCCTCGATATCCGCCGCCGTAGCCTCCACGGCCAGGATACCCCCCGCCGCCATAGTACTGGTCAGCCTCCTTCGTGCTCTCTGTTTTCTCAGCTGATCAATTGGAGGATTTAGTTATTATGATTTTAACGACTCTTAAAATTGTAATATTACGATAAAATTCGAATCGAACTTTTCCATGAAATTGAGTTAGTTTCGAATATGGAGAACAAACAAAACTAAAATATTCTTTGTTGGAAATAAATTATTTATTGTTCGAAGTTATATTTTATTTTAATACGATGGTTTTTTTTTCCAACGTTAAACTCAAACCCTTATGAAGTTCTATTATATTACTGTTTGAAGTTATATTATATTTTAGGGAGATGCTTCGGTCCCCGTTACGGAACCATTCCGTTGTGATTTCTAACCATCAGATCAACTATCCTCAACGGTTCAATGATGATCTAACGGTTATAAACTTCGACGGAGCAGTTTCGTATCGAGACCGTAGCATTTTCTTATACAATACGATGGTTTTTCCAACGTTAAACTCAAACGTTATGAACATTACATGTATCGATGGTATCGGAAGATTCTGCAAGATCTCGAGCCGCCACGTGTGAGGAAATCAGAAGGACCATAGCCAAAACAAGGCCAAGAAAGACTACTGCTTTAGAAGCCATATTTTTTTTGCTCTCGCTTTTTGTATGTTTGCTGATGATACTTGTTTTGGTTGCCATTTGGTGTTGGATTGGCTTTGCTATTTATAGCCAAATCTCGCAAATAGGGTTGTGACGATATAAGTGAGTTGTGATTAAAAGGGCCCATATTTAGTTGGCTGTTGAAGGTACTGCAGCATTTAATGAGATACACCCAAGTCCACTTTATTTGGATTAAAAAGCATATATGTCATAAAATTGAAGGTTTGTTGATCGGATCTTCAATATCCTCTTGTTGGTAGTTGGTAATATTCTATGACGACAAACTACTCAACGTGTACGATTATTTTTTTTGGTAGCCAGCCACGGTATCCGAAGTTATGCCCCGAGAGCTATGCACCGATTAATCGGTTGGTCGACCCTGGTCACACACCTGGGTTTTCTGCATCCACAAGGACTCATACCCGAGACTTTGCTTAAGCGGCATCAAGCTGCTTACCACTTGAGCCAACCCATGTTGGTAATGTGTTCGATTATTGTTATTATAAGGATTTTACTATTCAAAAGATATATCAATTGGAGAATGGAAAAGTTTTTTATTTTTCTCGCGTTACATTTTACTTGGAATATTCTTTTTTTTTTTCCTTAATAATTATTTAAATTATTTTAAAAATAAAATATAATTTATTTAGATATGTGGTTTTACTCAATGAAACTTTTCATAATATTACGGGTTTGCCACTTGTTTTAAATATTATTAGACAAAAAAAATATTTTCGTAATTTTTAAATTTATTTTATAGTAATTAGCATACAAGTTTTTTATAATAATATTTCGGTACAACTAAAAAATAAAATTATATAGAAGTGAGGTATGATTAGAAACTTTTCTTCTCTTATATGATATCTTAAGCATATTAATTACAACATCTTCCCACATTCTGATACTATCTTGATAGTCAGAGTGCTGATGTCGGGAACACCTCTTGTTTTGCAGGTCACCAGCTTCATTCGGGCGATCGAGATACCTAACTTACCAACAAGGATATTCGGAGAGGACTGGTGACCTAAATATCAGAGTTACTTGGTAAATCCCTATAACTTATTATTTACCAAAATAACAAAAGTAACAATTAAAACTGATGTATAAACCAATCTAAAAATACTATTGTCTTAAACACAACTGTTACAATTTTTATTAAATATTGTAATATTTATTCCAGATCTAAAGATGCAAATATAATTTGAAGAAAAGAAAATGAACTTACTAAAATTATTGAAAATTATATGCGAAGAAACAAAAACAAAAATTATCATTAATTCGTTAACTACAATTATATGGAAAATGTTAAGGTCCCCGGACGCTACCGTCAGCGTTTTACATCGTTGGATAAGAAAAGTAGGTTATGTTGTGTGGCTCTCGTGTGACAGGATAATATAATTCGAGTTTCTCCAATTTGCAATATTGTGACAGGATCCGACAGAATTCGGATAAGAAGAACACATGTTTTGGCATATTATATGCTAGAGTAATCGCAATTCCGTTGAACTATTCAAATCTTTGTCATATGCTCGTGATAGCAACTCTATTGAAATATTCAAATATAACGGATTAAATTTCTTAAAAACGCTTGGATGAGATGACTTGAATCTCTTCCAGCTTAACCAGTGGTCTCGTGTTCGAGCTCTGTGAATGCAGAAGTGTTAAAAACTCTTGAGGGAGAGTTTTGCCGCCCTTGTGGTCTTATCCGACTCAATTCGAATTAATCGGTTCTCCTGTGGATCCGGAAACCGGAAGATCCCTGTACCAAAAAAAAAAAAAAAATAAATTCTTAGCATAAGTCTCTCGTCAGGTGAAATAATAAAGACAACATATATAATATTAGAAATAATTTATGTGCACTAATATGAACAAAAATAATTAGATAATAAATGTAAAAAATAATTTGTGAGAAAGACAAATTATATCTATATAATAAAAAATCCACATATAAATACACTAACCCATTAAGTGCGATGAAGGCATACGACGATGAAAAAAAAAAACAAAAAGGCAAATGTTTGAATAGGAGGTGCGTCATAAGTCATAACAACAAACCTAAACTAAATTGAATTAGAACGACAAGAAACTGACATAGACTTTAAGCTACACAACCCGGAATTTGACCTCTAAAACAGTTGCACTAGATCAAAGGGCAACTAGCTCAAGAACAAAAGATTGCACTAGATCAAAGGGCAACTAGCTCAAGAACAAAAGATAACCCTGCCACTGAACACGAGTCCCTAGCAGGTTTACCACAACAACAAGTTTTTGTAAATATTGTGTCGTGCTAGTTGTGTTCTTGTGCCTTTTCCCGTAGTTTGCGTACTTCTCGTCTTGGTTTCGTGTGCGTTGGTTTGTTTGTTGTTCTTGTGCGAGGTACTTTGCTTGAGAAGCTCTGATGGACCCGTATGAATATTCTTATGTCGGAAGCTCGTCTCGTGGATACTCCGTCAACTACCAAGAGGAGATGTACCCATATTGAAACGTATACTTATTACGGAGTGCGCTTAATGGTGATACGAACTGAAATAAGAACTGAATAATGCGGAAGCAATAAACCGAAGATTTTAAAACTCTTCAGGGAAGCGTCCCACTTCCCCTCAGAGCTCTTTCATTGATAGATCAACCATACACATAGCTTGGACTTACAACAACTCGAACTCCCTTCAAGCCTAGCCAACACTATACAGATCCTATCAACTAATTCTCCGGCCACGTCCCGTGGACTTTTGTAACCTACACTTACTCCCTAAGTGTATAAACTGTAAAGTAGTTTTGGATGAAACACAAAGAACTAAATAAAAACAGCTTCAGTCCTTGAGTTAGTTCGAACTCCCAGACTGAACTGTATACAACTCAACTTAAACAGAAAAATATGAAGCTCAAATATTGCTCTAAAGATCTTCGAAACTCAGCAGCCGCAATGAGAGCTTGCATACGGGTATTTAAAGTAATCTCCTTAGGGTTGGAGTCTTCTACAAGGCATAGACTCCAACCTTGATTTCCTTCCATATAAATAGCTCATTTAAGGTAAGTAGATCTCCTCTTCTCTCTCCATAATCTTCCCACACGCACGGCTCTCCTTTCCTTTATCACTAGCACTTCCAATTTCCTATAAAATAGAATATCATAATAAGATCCGCAATTATCTTATATATGGAATGTAAACTAACTTAATTAAGGAAATAATATAATTGAAGATCTTCCCTATTTCTGTGGTTCCAGGTGCTTGTTCGAACCATAGAACTAATGCCAAAATAAAATATATCTTTCACATATGAAGAGTCATATCGTTCGTATCTGAGCTATGCAATCAATCTCTTCGCGCTTCAATGGCTCTCATGTCCAAAAAAGAAGAAATCGAGTCCTATGCTCCATCTTATTCATCATACGAGCACCAATCGGTTGGCCAACCTTGTATATCGAGGTCCAAAGCTTCATTTTCGACAATGGTTGTGTCTTCCTAGCGTGACAAGGAAATTTTAACGAACACTCAAGAGGGCACTTGCGAGCCTTATATCGATCATTGAGAAGTTAATTTCACAGTTGGAGTTGTATACCTATTCCAACTGTTCTTCAAGCGACACTTACGAAGTTCGACTCTGCTGTGGTAGTTTTTCTCGACTTGGACGCATCTCAAATTACGCTTGGAAAATATTGTTCTCTATAGGCGAAGATTATTCAAGCTAAGAGAGTACTCAGTCAGAAGGCGAGTCGAGTGTTTAGGATCTTTATTTTTCTTTCTTGCGTAAGGCAATCATTGTTTAAATTTGTATCCGAACAACCTTCCTCGAGAGACATGACCCAAGGTCGGAATTTATTTCGTACTCGACTAAAAATAACTTAATACACGTCTGCTGGCAGTGTGCTGCTGGTGGCAGACGTTGCCAATGCGTATGTTGGGGACGCTTTGGGCGATCGACAAGGTCGACGGGTGACAGCGGATGGCGAGGGGCGACGGGCTGAGCGCAATGGGTGCAGAAGTCTGGTGCCTAACATTCGCCAAGCTAGCCTCAACGACAGTGTTGTGCGTGCTTCGACCACGTGCGCTATGCTCCCAGACGATCGACAGACAACATCACGCATCCTAGCATGCAAGTGAGGAAGTCGGGGACGGACAAGTCAGCATGTGCCTCGTGCGCGAGCAGGCGTCTGCCGACAACGATTTTGCAAAACGCGGCATTCGTGCGGAGCTCCCAGTGACCCGACGACATATGGAGATCAACGCGACGACGCTTCTTTCTCGACGGCTTTCTCCAGCGGCGACGCTGTCCAACGACGGTGTCCTATCGGAGAAGGAGAGTGAGATTCATCGAGAAAGAAAATTCAACGTACGTCGTAGGGAAAAGAAACTCACTAACTTAAATGTTTATGTATCACGAGGAATAAATTATTAGCATGCTAATTTTAGATAATGGTCAGCTTAGAGGGTCAAGAATAAAGTTTTTCCTTAAAAAAAAAAAAAGTATCTTTTAATTCTTCATTTTTGCTTAACAAAATTTGACGAAAACTAACTCGTGGTGAAGATAATCATGAAAAATATGTAAAATATCTTGTAATTAAATTACCTAAACAAAAATGCTTATTTCCCTAAATGCTTATTCATAGTTTATTCGTTTTTATTTATAGTTTAATAATCATCTGAATTTGTACTAATCCAAGTAATATTGGATCGTCGTCGTTATTTGTACTATTAATTGTTTAGCGACATGTTTGAGAAATTCAATAAATATTAATTGTTTAACGACATGTCTGAGAAATATGATCTTGTGCGCCACTGTTGCAGTGATGTCGTACACTTGCGAGTAGTGAAAATAAATAGCGAATAATAAATAAATATTTACTTCTAAATATAAAAGGTTTATATTCTTGATCAATAATATTTATTTTAAAATAATGAATGAGTCTACAATTATATATATAAAAAAAATAAAATAACCTAAAAGTTTATTCCGATAATAATATGAAATAATAGCTCAAAAGGCAAAGTTGGTATATTCAAAATATATAATCATAAGTATTAAAAAATATAGTTATAATTTACCAAATATTGTAATTGAAAATCATTAATGTTTTCAACACTAATATAATATATAATGTACTCCTTTTAAAACTGGTAACAAATTATTTTAAAAATTGTATAAAAGAAATATCTCAAAATTTTGAAATTATGAAAGAAAAAAAAAAACTATGGTAACAAATTATGAATGAGAAAAGAGGATAAAAAGGATTAAGTAGGAATATATTAAGTAGTTAAATAATTCTAATTTAAATAGTCTAATCGGGTGCATAAATTTAATTCTTGGATATACTCATGTACATTACAAAATAAAATAAAATAAAATTTGATAGTTCGGCAAAATCGTATAAAACCTACCCTAAATATAGTTGAAGTCTTGATCATTACTCAAACGAAAACCACACCTATATATATAAGAGTTAAATTAAGAGCAGTCGACCTTGAGAGAAAACAAATTCACAAAAGTAAGAATCACGCAGAAAGAATCAGAGAGAGAGAGAATGGGTTGGGTTAGAGGAGAAACCCTTGGGAAGGGTGGTTTTGGGTTCGTCTCCATCGCCAAAACCATGCAAGATCATTGATGTAGCACCAAAAATAACTCGATGGACCAGCCTGATCGGTTAGCTCAGATAAGGCCGGTCCAAGAGAGCTTGCAGAGCTTGGTGGTCGTCAAGGACATCAGTAGAGCTTGCAGAGCTTGGTGGTGGTCGAGGACATCACTCGAGTTTGTACTGCTTGGTGGTGGTCGAGGACATCACTAGAGCTTGCAGAGCTTGGTGGTGGTCGAGGACATCACTAGAGTTTGCAGAGCTTGGTGGTCGTCGAGGACATCATTAGAGCTTGCAGAGCTTGGTGGTCGTCGAGGACATCACTAGAGCTTGCAGAGCTTGGTGGTGGTCGAGGACATCACTAGAGCTTGCAGAGCTTGGTGGTGGTCGAGGACATCACTAGAGCTTGCAGAGCTTGGTGGTCGTCAAGGACATCAGTAGAGCTTGCAGAGCTTGGTGGTGGTCGAGGATATCACTAGAGCTTGTACTGCTTGGTGGTGGTCGAGGACATCAATAGAGCTTGCAGAGCTTGGTGGTGGTCGAGGACATCAATAGAGCTTGTACTGCTTGGTGGTGGTCGAGGACATCACTAGAGCTTGCAGAGCTTGGTGGTGGTCGAGGACATCACTAGAGCTTGTACTGCTTGGTGGTGGTCGAGGACATCACTAGAGCTTGCAGAGCTCGGCGGTGATCGAGATAGGGCAAAAGCCTGCTGAAGACACCGCTCGTGCTCGCGGAGCTCAGCGGTGGTCGAGAAAGCCTGTTGAAGACACTGCTCGAGCTCGCAGAGCTCAGCGGTGGTCGAGAAAGCTTGCTGAAGACATCGCTTGAGCTCGCGGAGCTCAGTGATGGTCGAGAAAGCTTGTTGAAGACGTGGTTTGAGCTCGTGGAGCTCAGCGGTGGTCGAGAAAGCCTGCTGAAGACACTGCTCGAGCTCGCGGAGCTCAACGGTGGTCGAGAAAGCTTGCTGAAGACACTGCTCGAGCTCGCGGAGCTCAGCGGTGGTCGAGAAAGCTTGCTGAAGACATCGCTCGAGCTCGCGGAGCTCAGCGATGGTCGAGAAAGCCTGCTGAAGACACTGCTCGAGCTCGTGGAGCTCAGCGGTGGTCGAGAAAGCTTGCTGAAGACATCGCTCGAGCTCGCGGAGCTCAGTGATGGTCGAGAAAGCTTGTTGAAGACGTGGTTTGAGCTCGTGGAGCTCAGCAGTGGTCGAGATAGGTCGGAAGCATGTGAAATAAGTTGCTCGAGCTTGTGTAGCTCGGTAGTGGTTTAGATAAATTGAAAGCATGTAGAAGACGTCGCTCGAGCTCGCGGAGCTCGGCGTTGTCCAGTTCAAACGATTACTGGGCCTATCTTGGCCCGACATGAAGTTAAACGCGTCGCCGCATTAGTGCAAGATAGTCATTGTGTTTATAAACTCATCAGTATCATTGTGTTTATGAGATCGGCAGCGGGTCCTCAGACTTGTAGTCGTAACCAAATTCATGGCGAAAGTTTGTCGTGGCATTACTCGAGTTCTCGGAGCTCGACAACGGGTCCTTTAATTTGTAGCTAGATCAAGGGTAATTAGCCCATCGTAGCGGTGTCCGAGCTCGTAGAGCTCGGGAGGCCGTAGATATGGGAGTCATTGTTACAACTCGAGCAGATAGTGCGAATGTCAAATGTTTCAACGTGGCAGAACATCAAGTATGTTACTCGAGGGCCACAAAGTCAATGAAAGTGGAAAGTTAGCCCAAGAGCCATAGTTGCATGCAAGATGGCTGCAGAACTCCGACGTGGTAGACTGTGGGGGCTATACGAGCCCGGGACCCCGACATTGTAGTCCTATGATATACAATTGAGCGAGACATGATTGTTCCACTCTTAGACAAGTCTTATATTCATAAGCTCGTCTAGAGTGGGGGGGCTAGATGATGTAGCACCAAAAATAACTCGATGGACCAGCCTGATCGGTTAGCTCAGATAAGGCCGGTCCAAGAGAGCTTGGAGCCTAATTTATGTGATAAACAACATTATTTAAAGATATTCATGAAAGTTGGTGTATATATACACAGTTACTGAGAAACATCAGAATTCTGATATATTGAGGGAACTCATTATCTTGGGGAGTAAGTCATTAAACCCCTTATAAATAAGGGACCAGGTTCATTTTTCTAATGCTAAGCTCTGATGATTGCTTAGCATACACGACTAAAATATTTATTATCTGACTTGAGCGTCGGAGTGTCTACGCCGGGGCCTCTCCCTGGCGCTTTGCAGGTCGATCCGGTTCTTGAAGACAAAGGCGATCGAGATGTCCGAACTCTCACGCAACCGAGATGAGGCGGTTCGACCGGCAACCTCAATGAGTCAATTATTTTGGCTCATCAATCATAATCTGCCGTCGTCGATTGCCGTGAAATCCGCCAAATTTTCCGAATCCGAATCACTGAAGAAGGAGAAAGAGCTGCTCGACAAGTTCCAGTCATGCCCCTCTATCCTCCGCTGCTTTGGTGACGAAATCACGACCGAAAACGGGGAGAAACTCTACAACATATTGCTCGAGTATGCCTCAGGAGGATGCCTCGTCGACCACATCACCGTCAAGGGCCTTCCGGAAATCAATGTCTGCCGCTGCGCGAAATCCATACTCACGGCGCTCCTTCACATCCACAAGGCCGGCTACGTTCACTGCGACGTGAAGCCTCACAACGTGTTGCTCGTCGGCCGAGATGCGAAGCTCGCAGATCTCGGGAGCTGCTGCTGCAAGACGAGCTTCGTCGACGAAAATAGTAGGTGTGATGATTTCAGGGGCACGGTTATGTACGCGGCCCCGGAGTCGATAGCCCAGCAGAAGTACTTGCCAGAGTCAGATGTTTGGGCCTTGGGCTGCTCGGTTCTACACATGCTGACTGGAAAATCACCGTGGGCTTTTGACAGCAAGGCCCAGCCGAAGGATGTTCTCTTCAAGATCGGGTGCAGTGACCAGATTCCCCAGATTCCAACAAACAACAAAATATCCAAAGAGGCTAAAGACTTTGTCGCAAAGTGTTTGGTGAAAGATCCGACGGCCAGGTGGAAAGTTGATATGCTTCTCGACCATCCCTTTGTCAACAAGGCCGATCGACCGACAGTTGCCAGAAAATACCATCATCGTCATCATCATCACAATAAACTGTCTCATGGCATTCACTCTTTGGTGCCTCACTGTTTTCACCACCCAAAAGTGCAGGCCTGCTGATTACATCTTCTATATATTTTTACACAGCTGAGTTGTACCTTTCAGATAAACTTGCATCACATTAATAAACTTGTACCTTTCAGATACACCATGCATATATATTGATAGTGATGCTACACACAGAAAAATAATTTTATGTATGTATCATCATAATCATTCCTTATTAATTGAAATCAAGAACTCGCATTCATTCAACAATATCAACAGAAAAACGAAAACTCACAATAATAAGTGACCGCACCCACCCGTGAAAAGTAAAAGTCTATCCCACGAGGAATATGAGATTGTCACGATTTTGTATTAATTGAACTCTTCTTCAAAAGTCATCGTCCTTTACTTCTCCATAATTCATTCTTAATTTAGCACCAACCATAAATACTTATGAGGATGGGCTTTTTACATTCAAATGTCCATCTGAGAAGTTCAACCGAGCTCTTTATTTACACTCTTATTTCAAATGCCATTCATATTCATCATAAAATTATTTAAAATAAAACCTTAGGGGGCGCTTGAATACAATTATCCGCTAAAACCAATTTTTTAGTTAATTAGGGTTAATTTTGAAAAAAAAATGTATGACTAGTTGTTAGTGAAATTTTGAGTTTATATCAAATAATAGTTAAAATAATATAATTAAAGTTTATTTTATATAAAAGTAGGATATAAATGATGTGAACTGGTGATTAGTTAAAATTATATGAATAGTTGAATAATGAATTACAATTAATGTTAGTATAGGAATGAATGATTGTTATTATTTAATTATATTGGTAATATGAAAGATTGTGAGATTGAATTAAAATTGAGTTAAATGTTGAATATAAACTGAAATAATTTATAAACAAACACACCCTTAACATCTCATAATATCATTAATTTCTACTTTATATAACATTTACTATTTCTAAAACTTCTTGTAACTAACAATGTGAGCTAATGTGAAAGCCTTTCTTGCAGTTTGCCACAAAAAAAAAAAAAAAAAGATAATGAAGTAGCTGAAAATTGTGGGAAGAACTTTCTAGTTACTACAGTTCTTTCACAAGGCAAATGAAAATAAACATCATAAATCACAACAAAGTTATTTGCTGCTGTCTTTAGGGAAATGCTGATCAATTTCCAACACAAAATCAAATACTGGACATATCAATCAAAACCAACCACCACTACAGTTTCTGAAACCGACCGAAACTCGTGATTCATTTACCAAAATAGCCTCGTTCTTCTTCTTCAACACGTTCTTCTTCTTCAACACGTTTAAGCAGTCTTCGGTTTAGGGTTCTTTCTCTTTAGTTGCTTCCTCGAGATAGAGTTCTTCATCCCAATGAAAAATAGGAGTCCGCCAAGGAGTGCCACACACTATCACAACAATGCACATTGAGTTAACACGAAATAATATTTCCAAGCAAACAAACAATAAATGGATAAATGAGTTTGAACAAATTTTTTAAGCAAGTTTTGATAAGGTAAAGGCACCTGAAGGAACTCGTGCAAGAGTCTGAAAAATTTAGGCTCGCCAACTTTGAAGTTGTAGAAGTCGTACAGTAAAGGGGTTGTCAGTATCAAGTAGAGTATCTGCAGCATTCACAGGAAAAAAAGGTAAGGATTAATGATCAATAACAATAAATTTTCTCGGCGGTAAAAAAAAAAGTAAAAAAAAAAATAATAATAATAAAAAAAATTGGGTTATTAAATGTGAAAGTTGGTTAAGAAGTTGAACCAGAAGAAAAGCACCGAAATGGCTCCCGAGGACAAACAGAAGACCGCCTAAGCCCTGTAAAGAAATACACACTGCAACAAAAGTCCTTGCCTGGCATAATGTGTGTATTTAGAAATCAGTATACACAATGTCGATAAAGTTGAACATAAACTTAAAGAGAGGAAAGTTTTATGAAAAGAAAAAAATAAGCGAGTTCAATAGTATTCGAGGCTTTACATCAATGTGCACATTGCCGTTTCCAATTATGCGATTGATCGACTTCTCCACAGTAGTCAATTTTTTAGCCCACAGTTCTGCTGCAGGCCCCCCATCCTCCCCAAATTCATTGAACCTGAAAAGTGAAGTGCATATTAAAGAAGACAAGACACTTAATCAAAATCAGAGTGTTTTTCTTGACAAGTCAATCTACCAAATAAAACATTCTCAATGTATTTATGATCATATTCCACCACAAAAAAAAGAACACACGATGCAGTATAATTATTGCAAGTAATAATGGTGCCCATGGCTCAAAATCAAAGTTATTTTGCCTGCATTTTAGAATCTTTTGTTGTTACAGCAAATGGTACCCAGTCCTTGACGGAAAAATAAAAGGTTCAAACAGAATTCCCATGATCCAGATTCATTAGATTATTGGCATTAGCATCTCAATGAGATGTAATAAAGCAAAAGAACAACTAAAAGTTCTACAAAGAAACTAATCAAAATTAAAATCGACTTTGAGAACGATGAGTATCAAATACCAATTGCTTCCATATTAGTCTCAGTTCATTATATATTGTACTCCACTGACATGCAACTAGTTACCTAAAGTAGTTATAGACAAGGTTAATGCTTAGTATTAAAAATGGTTAACTCACTTCAGTTCAAAATCCAACTCTCGAACTCCATGTCCTATTAACTCAGTAGGTTGAATGGCCCATATGTAAAGCTACGGAAGTTCCAAGTATGTAAGCCTGTAATATTGAACTAATCTACAATTTTGAAGGCTTTTATAACAGTGAGATGTTCAAGCATTAATCATTACAGTTAAAGCAAACTCCGAAGAAAACTTTCGATCTACTCTGGTTGAGTTGGCTGTTCTATATCATTTTAAACAAAACTTTCGATCTTTTGTTAGCTTCTTCCCTTGAAGAACACGAGCATTTGGTTTAATAAACTTAACCCAACTGAAAACATTAATTTTTGACCGACTTCATGTATCAGAAGCGCACCAAACACAGCATGCAATCATAAAGCAGTACATATAGGTTCAACTAAGCTCGTCAATTATCTTCTAAATTTAGTCCTTCACCAACATGTTAACTGCTCTGTCTCTCTCCTAGCAGCACATATAGGCTCAACTAAAGATCAAATTAATGCTAGCCCGTAGAATAAATGGCTAAAGGTTACTCCCTTGGTTTTGATAGGACGAGAACCATCGCGATAAGATGAACCAAAACAAGCTAACCCTTATGAATAAGAAGATATAGTGAGCAAGCTAGTCAGCAATGCAAAATGAATAAGTGATTAATGATGATATTTCAATTTCAGTAACTTGCAGTTTTATTCTACACCAAGGCATAAATTTATTTCAGTAACTTATTCCCATTCCTCCCCTAGACAAAGAACTTAACCCACAAGGGATCCACATTCTCTAAAGAAACTTTACCCTATGCTCTTTTCCTCAGATCCAAAATTCAACAAAGAGAATTTGGACGAGTGCAAATATTAGTAGACATTCGGGGAGCCAGCACTCGTGGGCAGACATGAATATCGATTTTCCTATTTCCGAGTAAACCTAAACGAGAGTTTAGTGAAAAGCTCGATAGATCAGTGCAGAAAATACCCATCACAAAAGAGGTAGTGGTGATGGTAGTGGTGATGGCATGTCCTACGGTAAAAGTAGGTTCTTTATCGTCAAAATCAAGAAAAAAAAAAGGACAAAACTAACCAAGTGACCTCAAACTATTTTTAGCACAAGCAGTGACAATCAAGAAGCTAGATCCACATATAAAAGTAAATAAAACACACACACACACACAAACACACGGAGAAACACCTTGAAATTTTCAAAATTGCAGGCCCATCAACAGAAACACATCTCCAGCAAAAGGGTAATAATCTCCAATTGGAAACAATTTTTCTCCACATATTCATGACACGATTCAATAACTCTCACCCAACGACATATGCACATGAAACTAAGCAGCAAGTCTCGAAAAGCAATGCTTGTAGAACACAGAAAGATGCAACAACACATTCTACACCATTTTACATTTAAATACACAACAGATCTGATTACAAATAATGAAGAGGACAAAAACACAGGGAAGAGGGTTTGCGCAATTTTTTTTACATTTGCCATGCCGCGAGGATGAAGATGGAGGCGAAGAGCACTCTCCCAAGAAAAGAAAAGAACCCCATTTTTTTCTTGCTCGGCCCCTTTCTTCCTTCAGATTTCTGCTAGGAGAGGGAAGGTTTACAGAGGTTGAATTTGAGTATATGTGAAAATGTCCTGCTTTTAGAGTTGCTAGTTATTTGTATTTTCATGAGTGTTTGTATTAATAAGGTTTGATACTAGAGTTGAAGTGGCTATGAATGAATTGTGTTGATATGCTCGAGTTGGGCTCTCTACCGACACATGTACCACTTGTTAACGGAATTAGGGATGATGGAATATAAATTAGTTTGGATTTAACTTGATTTATTGGATAAGTTAATTTTTAACAATATTATTATTATTATTATTATTATTATTATTATTATTATTATTATTATTATTATTATTATTATTATTATTATTATTATTATCTTATTTTTGCAAGGATATTATTCATAGATATAAACATAAATGTACATGCTAGAAAAAAGTTACCATCTCAATAAACCAGTCAGTCACCTGAATCTAGTTGAGAGATCTATAGATATGGATATAGCAAACTTAAACTACTTGATCTACCAGTCGGGCCCCCGTGAACCATGTCTAACTCGACCCGTCACGTGGATTAATTTACTCAAATAATACAATTGACCGTTTGATCTAGTTAATGTTGGATATCCGTTTTGACGATTGGCGAGACCCATTTCGAATAAAGTTATAGAACCTAGAAACAACCTAATTCCAAGCCCACGACCCAAAGCTCATATTGACGACCTACGACGACAACACATGAGTCGTGACCCTCATACCCACGACCCAAATTCGAAAAATCTTGGGTCGTCAAACGACCAAGCATGGCTGATACATAAACAATGGCCAACTGAGCAAGATTGCGAATCACCCATGTTAAAAGGATGGCCCAAAAGCCAGTAAGACCAACACCGATATGACAAACGACCCAAGTGGTATACCAAGTCCTAAACGACCCAAGCGTTATACCAAGACCTAGACGACCCAACAAATGACCTAAATTCCAAAAACAACACGACAACAACTTGGCCCAAGGCCTACTAACCGACAAGGATTAAAGGATGACAATCAAATGAACACATAAGCAATCTTAATCATATGGATAAGAACGAATCTCAGGCAGTCCATTCGACAACCAGTTGTCCCTCTCGGGCAGCCCGTTGTACTTCCGGGCAGCCCTTTCTTGGGCACCTAGACAGAAATTAGGGTAAGATACTCACTATAAATAAGAGGTAAGAGCACGCTCGAAGGACTTCATCCACTTTCTCATTTTTAATATTCTGCAACTATTTTATGATCTTCATTTTCTCTTTAGAACCTGCAACTATACGGGTGGCTGCAGACCCGACCTTAGGGGTCAGGGCCACCCATGGAGTGGCTCGCAAACAATGAGTAAGGACCCCTATCAACGAGATCTAACGCCTGCAAGGAATCCGACCAGCACTGGCCAGCTAGGTACGACCAGAGATGCAACCCCTGTAATTAAGGATACATGACCGAAGGCTCTGGAAGAACAAAACATTTAGGTCACGCGAGCGGAATTATAAAAGATAATAGCCGAAACGGTGGTTGCGTGGACTCAACCAACACCAGCACCAGTAGCACCAGAGGTCACAGTGCGACCTGAAGAGCAAAGGGGTACTCGAATGTGAGATGACGAACTAAAATGCTCTATTAACTCGCCAGTGCCTATACAAACTCGGCCTGACCCGGCCTTAGAGCGTATGGCTGCCCAGTTGCGTGAACTACATAAGAAGAAGATAGAAGGAAGGCGTGGTCCTCGGCTCTACGGGCACCCGTTTGCTTAAGAAGTGCTCGATGTTGATTTGTCGCATGGATTTCGTAAGCTCACTTTATCATACAATGGGTCTACCGACCCAGCACGACATCTGAGAAGCTTCAAGAACATGGCCTTCCTACACAAATACAGTGACCTTGTGTGCTACAGGGCTTTCTTAGCCACGCTGAGGGACCCGTACATGATTGGTTTCATCAACTAATACATGGGTGAGTAAGAGACTTTCAAGGATTCAACTCGGTGCTCACCAATCAATTGTCCAGCGCAAGAATACCTACATACCACTTATCAACATGCAACAGAGGAATGGAGAGACACTAATAGCGTACTTGGCCGGTACACAAAGGAGTGTGTTGTCTTCAAGGGAGGTCAAAAGGGGGCGCTCACAAGAGGGTTGTGACCTGGTGCTTTTAGAAATTCATTAGTCAAACGACCTGCAAGATGCTATGATGAGCTTTTGGAAAGATGTAATAAGTATATCAACATAGAAGTAGCGGAGGCTGACATTTTTACATTCGAATATGAAGAGGGAAAAAGAAAAGAGATTTGATTTACGCCGTAGGCCCGAAGAAAAGAAGCCAGGTAGTGATATGAGGCAAGGTGAAGAGAAGGGGTGGAAGTTGGTCCATAGGTTTTATACCTATACGCACCTCTAACAATGACCCTAGGACAGGTCTTTGAAGTTATGGAAAAGATATGTAATCTAGGATTGTTAAACCATCCTAGGCCGCTGTCCAGAAAAAAATGGTGTTCTAATAGGTCAACCAAGGGCCTACTGTCGTTATCATAGAGACTATGGACACTTGTAAAGGACTAAGGGATGTGATAGAACGATTGATTCGAGCCGAACATCTAAAGAAGTTTGTCTTAAGGGATAGATATGCTGAAAAAGAAAGAAAAGAGAATATGAGAGGACGTGAAGGGCGGGACGATCTCCCTACTCGAGAGAAGGGCATTATACATATGATATCTATAGGACCAATTGATGGGGACTCGAACCAAGCTAGAAAACGACACGCTAGAGCCATAGGTAGATCGAATCAGCTTGGACCAGTCGGTCTAAGAGGAATTTCCACGTTGTACAATGATGCTTTGGTGATCAACGCGAAAATAGCCAACTATGATGTCGCGAGGCTCTTTGTCGACACATGAAGCTCAGTGGATATTTTTTTCACGCACTGCCTCAAACAGATGGACTTTGGGGTCCAACTACAATCGTTACAAACAACCTTATATAGATTAAATGGTTCCGAAGTAGTCCCTATGAGGGAAGTAACGCTGTCAGTAACCTTAGGGACTTCACCCCTGAGGCAAGGAAAGATGATTAGATTTCTGGTTATAAAGTGTGACTCAGCGTACAACGTAATATTGGGAAGGCCAAGCTTAAATACATTTCTAGCAGTAGTATCGATGTATTGCATGGAGGTGAAATTCTTAGTCGAAGACGGAGTTGAAGAGGTCGTGGGGAATAAAAATACTGATAGGACGTGTTATCAGGTCACCCTGCGAGCTAGACAAAGTGAAAAAAGAAATATGGATCAACAGAGAGATAGAGCAGAAAAATAACCAAAGTTACACTTAGCCTCTCACGATGAACTCATGGAGATTGAGTTGATAGATGGAGTAAGTAATAAGGTAACATGCGTTGGTCGAGACTTACACTTGGATGTACGAGGAAAGTTTATTAGCTTATTGAAAGAGTTCGTGGACATATTTGCATTCAGCCCGGACGACTTGGTAGTCCATCATTTAAACATCAACGAAGCAGCCAAACCAGTGAAGCAAAAGCGCAGACATTTTGGTGCAGAACTGGACGCTATTATTGAAAAAAAAAAGTCAATAACTTGCTAAGAGCCAGACATGTCAATCCCATCCAGTCCCCGAGTGGCTCTCAAATGCACTAACGGTTAAGAAAGAGTTGGATAAGTAGAGAATGTGTTTTGAATTTCGTGACCTAAACAGGGCTTGCCCAAAAGACCACTACTCCTTGTCACGGATCGGCCAACTCATGGACACAACTGTTGGGTGTGAGCTACTAAGCATGATGAACGCATCTCAAGGATACCATCAAACTGCTTCAACGTCAGAAGATCATAAACGAGTTAGCTTTGTCGCAACGAAAGACACATATTGCTATATAGTTATGCCATTTGGGCTAAAAAATGTAGGTGCTACTTATCAACATTTAGTTGATCACATGTTCAAAGACCAACTTTAAAAAGCACGGAAGTTTACGTCGACGATATGTTGGGTAGATACACGAAGGATCGTGTGGGTGATTTGAAGAAAACGTTTCTAACCCTCAGACCCTATGGGATGAATTGAACCCTGAAAAGTGTAATTTTGGAGTATGATTAGGGAAATTTCTGAGGTACATTGTGACAGAGAGAGGAATTGGAGTTAACCCAGCCAAAGTCAAGGTAGTTATGGACATGAAGCCACAAAGGACCTTGAAAGAAACACAAACATTGGCCGGGTGGTTAGCAGGACTTTGCCGTTTTATTGCTCAGTCGGCAGGGAAGGGTTTTTCATTATTTCAAAAACTAAAAAAGAGAGCTAAGTTTGTATGGATCGAAAGACCACAACAGACGTTTGAATGATTGAAAGAATTTATGTCATAACTATCGCTATTTATAAAGACAGCGCAAGACGATGGCTAATTTTATATCTCTCAGTTGGTCGAGTGGCGATAAGTTCAGAGTTGCTAAAAGAGAAAGAATATCAACAGAAACTAATATACTACATGAGTCAGCTGTTGTAAGGAGCTGAGACTAGATATAATGACATCGAGAAGGTTGTATTGGCTCTAATTGTAAATCTGCAAAAATTGAGGCTTTATTTTCTTAACCATCGAGTAGTAGTCAGAACCAATATCCCGCTAGACAACATCTTGGGGCGTCCTACTGTATCGGGGCAATTAACAAGTCGATTGTTGAATGAGAGGAGTTTGAACCACGGAGGGCCATAAAAGCCCAATCTCTAGCAGACTTTATCCAAGAGTTCACTGTCGATGAAAACATTAAGCAATAGTCGATTTATGCTGATGGAAGTTTAACTATTGATGGAGCGGGAGCAAGAATCTTGATAACTACCACAAAAGGAGATCACTTGGAGTTCACCGTGAAACTATCTTTTCGAGCATCAAACAACGAGACCGAGAATGAAGCCATGATCAAATAAACCGAGCACAAGTCGAACGCTAAGGTTTATATTCAACATATGCTCGATTATATTAGCATCAATCTCCATCAATTCCTCGAATGTATAGGCGAACACATCTGCAAATTCTCGTATCAATGCTATGAGTTTCAACCTCAAGGGTTCCTCCCCAGCTCCTTTTCGGTTTTAAACTTTTGCTTGTCGCAAACCTCGAATATTTGTATCTCCATGATCTCTCCCCCTGACTGAATATATGCCTTCCATTTTCCTTTGCTGAGCTTAAGTCTTTCCTCCTTTGACCTTGTCTGCTTCACCCGTCCACCGTCTCCTCCTTCGAAGTACTCAACATCCTGGCATTCTGCTTGTCCACGCCAACTGTTATTTGATAACACAACCTCGATGTGAGTTGGTCACCGATGACGTCCCTGACCTTCTCATCCACTAGATATTTGACCGTTATATGGTATGCTGATACCGCCACCTGAAAAGCATTCAGGCTTGCCCTCCAAAGAATGATATTATACGATGAATCCGCTCCAACCACCACAAATCTCACTGTTTTTACCTTCCTGGTCGAACCTGTTCCCAAAGCCACCGACAAGGTCACCTCACCCATGGGTACAACCTCACTTCCAGTGAAAGCATATAGAGACGTGACAACCTCTTTCAACTCAATATTCAGGTACAACTGCCTAAATTAATCGTAAAACATAACGTCCACTGAGCTTCCCATATCAATAAAGATCTTTTTCACGTCATAGCCAACAACCGCCATCGTGATCACCAGGGCATCTTTGTGTGGTACGTGAACCCCCTCTGCAACCTCAACTCAAAATCTGATCACCCACATTCATGATGTGATTTCGACCTCCTCTCGCTTCCTCTTTGTTGCCCGAGTATGTTACTTCTTAGAGTTGTTGGAATCTCCGTCTGTTGGTCCTCCTGAAATCATATAAATGATCCCCTTCTTGGTCGGGGCTGTATTCTCCTCATCATCTCGGCCACTTATTTCTTGATCTCTCTTGTTTTCTCCTATTCTGCCTACTCTATCTTCTCTTTCCTATAATCTTTATCCTCGTCCTTATCACTCTTTTCCAGTGAATCTTCACGACACCTGCTTTTCTCATTCTTCTTCTTTCTATCATGATACACAAATTCTTTCTAATGTACTGCTCGAATCAGATGTTCGATCTCATCTTTCAGGTGTCTGCAGTTCTCCATGGTGTGATCGTAACCTTATGGAATCTGCAGTACTTGTTTGACATTGGTTGCGTCTGCCCCTCTCTCCTCAACTTTGGCCGTGTAACTGCTCAACCATCAATTTTCTGCTCAATCGCCTCGAGCACTTCTCCCATTCGAGTCTTCAAGGGTGTGTATTTAATATATTTTTTACCATTCTGAAGTGGTCGATCCTTCCACCGATATTCTTGATCTCAATCTGACATGTCTTGTTTGTAACACCTAGGCGAATGAGCCCTCTCCTTCTTTGGCCCAGGACAAGCCAACTATTCCAACTTGGCAAACTCCTCCCCAGTCTTCTCAAGATTGATATATTTCTTGCATGCTTTAAGACCTCATCATAAGTACGAGCTGAAGTCTTAGCAAGAGAGTTTCGACAAGGACCAACTCTTAATCTCCTTATCAAACCACATGTTTGACCACATATGAGGCAGATGGGATTTCCATGCACGCCTAGTTGTACCAAGCTACATATTTCTTAAATGATTCTCCTTACTCTTGTCTCATGACCATCAAATACATATAATTTTTTTCTTGGGCAATGGCACTACCATATTGGTTCAAGAACAAGCTCGAAAAATCCTTAAAGTATCTGACCGACCCTGGTGGGAACTGATGAAATCAATACTGCACCCCCCCTCTCTAGGTTGATATAAACGCCCTGCAACTAACAACATTAGAGTATCTATGCAACACTGACGTATTTTCAATCAACCTCACATGCCTTGACGGATCTGTTGACCCGTCATACGTCAAACAAATCTCCCAAAAATTGTTTGGTAATAGCGCATCGAAGGTCTCCCTAGAAAAAGTTAGTCCTTGAGCTCGACCTGTGGGTTTGCCATCTGCCTTCGCCTGCAACTAACGGAGTCGTTCCGCCATTCTCTCCAAAGCTCACTTTCTTCGAACTCTTCCCCCTTCTCTGTTATTGGACTCATCCATCTGCGTCTCCTGCTACTTTGTACCTACCATATGGTCGTAGTGTTGGCATGAGAAGTCTGGTGAGTGGTCTGTTGGAATGCTCCAGCCGCCACGACATTTGCGATCATCTGCTCCAGCTCCTGCCTTGACATCGTAACCAACAGTTGTTCAGTTTGCTCCACGTTCGTCCTTACTGGCCCCATCGCGTGGACCACCACTCCTCCTGGTTGCGCGTTGGCAGATTTACCACATCCTGGGTTGGAACAACCGCTTCCTGAGTCGCTCGAGTCTCCTGAGCTCGGATTGAGCCTACAATAACTACATGGACTGCCTATGAACTCTCTAAGCTTGTAGGACGAAGCGTTGGGGTCAGCGGGGTCTGAAAAGATTCGAAAAAGCCCGATGGAGGGCCAATTCCGAACGGACGCGTGGTCGTCCGCGCTCTTTGAATGTCGGTTCTAAGTTCTTATTGGAAATTTCGCCTGTCATTCTTAAGGTGAAAACAACTTTCTGAACGAAAGTCCCACAAACGGGGCCAAAATGGTACATTAAAGACCTCCGACCGGCTTTGAATGGCTAGATCACAAGCTCGATCGCTGGTTGAACGCCTTTGGACCTGCAAAACTCTCACACCGGAGGGGTTTTCCCCTAAAGAGCCTCTGATGCTTAAGGTAGCACTAGTGCAATATAAGATTATGTAAAGAGTGTAATATAATTCAAGGCATACCTTACTCTCTTATATAGGGGAATGGTACCTTGTTGCCCAAGCTTGCCGGTGTGGGCTGCCCAGATTGCCCGTTCGTACTGCCCGAGATACCCGGACTCCCCAAACTGCCTGATTCTATTACGCCACGTGGCCCTATTTACGTGGATGTTTATTCCTAATAATATTCCTTCTTATCCTTTAGCCTTCTTCATTGAACGGTCTAACCGTACTACTGACCTCAATTACTTCGAGGTGAAATCTCATTGATGTCGAGCTCTGTTGTTACGCCCATCTGGTCGATTTTCCGACGACGTACTCTTTCAGGTCGAATTTTTACAAGAACATCCAGGGATCCCATTCGACCTGCTGGTACTTGTGGCATCCTTTATATCCTCTTCGACCTATGTGGTCTTCCTTATTCGTTCGACCTGATGACTGACTTTGTCCGGTTTGATCACTTTTTCGGTCTACTCGACCTACTAGTGTGATTATCCCATATCACACATGACATTCAATTGTATCAAAATATTTCACCATCTCTCATATGTGATTATATGAAAACCCTATGGAGAAATTAAAATTACACACATTTATATATATAGTTAATTCATAAATTAGCGTGTATATCATCATTTCCTCCGCTTGTGCTCTCATTTCTGCTCCTACTTTTTTTTCCTTTCTCTTAATCTCTATCGACTGCTATCAGCAAAGTTCCTTTCTATTTTCCGCATAAGGTCTGTTTCATCTTCTCTCTTCGATCTGATATACGCCCATATCATTCTGTTGTTTATTGTATTTTCACTTGGTTTATTGATTCATTGTTTTGTTTCTCGTTTTCCTTATTTATGGTTCAGCTTTTGGTTTTCTAAATGAGGGATTGCGCGACTTATCGTGATTATTGAATTTCATTGATATTTGCGATGGGTTTTGGGACTGATTAGGTTTACGAAGTTCATTTCGCAAAGACACTAGATTTATAACAGTAGATATAGATTGTTTCATATTCAATGGATGCCTGTTCTGGAAGATGTTGCCACATATTATTGGTTTAATTTGGGACTTTAGGAATTAGGGTTTATTGGAATCGTGTTCCGTGATGTGGATTATTCAGTTTAAGAATATTTGTTGATGATACTTGTTGGATTCTGCTAGTTGCTTCTGTAATTTTGCTATTTTATCTGTTAGCTTGTAATAATATTTTTATTTTTTCAATGTGCGAGCTTGGATGAATTTTGATATCCGGTGTCCAAGAACACAAGCCTTCCCAAATATATAATTAGCCCGCATAAGCGTGACATTTTTGCTTTCAAGGCATGGACAGAGTTTTGACGTTAGTATATAAGAGTTTGTTTTATGTAATATTAATAATTGATGGGTTTAGCTTTGACTGATTCAGGTGAATTAGAGGAAGTGGTGGTAGGAACTAAGAGAGTGAGGAAAAATGGCTGGAGTTGCACCTGAGGAGTCTAGTGTTGGAAAGTCATCTGAAGGAGTTTCAAGTGGACAACAACATCAGCTGAGAGTTCAATCTGGGGAAGCGTTAGCCGAATGGAGATCTTTGGATCAAGTCGAAAGTGGAAGCACATCCACTTCGCCTCCTTACTGGGACACTGACGATGATGATGATAACGATGGTGCACTTTTTTTGTTTTAATTTTTTACAAATGGATTAATTTTCTGGTTGAAATTTTGCACGCCTTTGTTATGTGATCTTGATTGCTAATCCTTCACGGATGAAGGATTATTTGTTTGGTCTATCTATGGCATTTCTTGTTTTGAAGTCTAGTTGGTATCTAATGTAACCACGTATTATAGTCCGTGAAATGAACATTTGAGAAGATGTGAAGAATGATAAAGACGGAAAAAGTGAGAAGAGAAGGAAGAAGAATCCGGAATTTTTATTTTTGTCGAGATGTTTCTGATTTACATTTACTGGCTTTTGGCTTACAAAATATTTTTATGAGTAGAATCTATATCTCATTACTGAAATCTGCAGACCATAATATACGTGGTTGGGCTTGATGCCTGATGGCAAATATTTGCAATACCTTGATGATTCCCCGATGCCTGATGGCAAATATTTGCAATACCTTGATGATTCCCCAATGTATCCGGCTTTTATTTGTCGTCTTTATAATAGATTTTTTAAATCTTTTTGGATCTTTTTATTATAAATCTCCATACAAGGCTAAGGTCAGTATCATAACAAAGTATGTATCCAATTTTGACTAATTTTAGTCTCATTTTCTTTCGCCATCGGAGTTGGCGTCTTATGCAAATTCTTATGTTTTTGCTTTGATTTTCCTTTCTATTGTTATTTAAAGCTGCATGTTTGTTAGGATACAATACGGATCTTTTATGTTTGAACCTATGCATATACTGGAAGTGTACCTTTAATCATCGGAAGCTAAGTGCTTATGGAGAGGGATGGATACCTATATTAATGTTTGGTGGATAGCCTTTTTGATGGTGTTCTTTATTTTCTTTGTACTTGCTTTTTTACTTTTTTTTTTTTTGTTTTTTTAACACAATTAATCAATTAAATAAAAACATATGCGTTTGAAGAAATTTAATGAGTTTAAAACTAAAGTAACAGTTTTTTTCATTACTGAAAGAAAGAACAGGGCTGCAAGGTAGCAAAAATATCGATTTATTTGAGTTGAGTTTTAAGTGACTCTAAATGTGGCTATTCATTTTTCTTAATTTGACCTCCATTCTGGTCGAGGCCTGGGAGCAGGATTTTTTATGTTGGTTCGATAAGTTGCATAGTGTTTCTGTCAATTACTTGTCGATTAACATAGATCCCCATGATTCGATGATCACAATGTCAATTATTTTTTCTTATCTTGTTCTACTTAGTATTTTGTGTTTCCTAAAGTTGTACTGCACAGCATTGCTGCTGAAAGTTATGACAGTCTTTTCCGAAAATGGAAGTTGCTGCATGTTGATTATTTATCTACGTATTATTGGATATTTGATTTTCTTTTTCCTCATGTATATAGAGAGAAATGCTCCCGATCTATGTTATCAACAAAGCTTTTATAATGTTGCAGGACAAAAACCTTCTGATTTATATGGAAAACATACTTGGAAGATTGAGAAATTTTCTCAGCTGAACAAAAGAGAGCATCGAAGTGATGCATTTGAGGCTGGGGGCTTCAAATGGTATGTCTATAAAACTATCTCGATTTGTCTTATGGAATTTCTTTGTACAAATATTCCACTGAGTGTTGTAGTCAAAGTTTTAATCCACTTCCATTGTTATTGTTATATCTGATTTGCGTGCACGTTTATTGTGCATTTAATTTATGATGTTATTAACTTGGACATCAGTTTGAAAGTTGTGATTGTATTATGAGGTTCCGAACCCATTATGGATGCATATGTAGAAATTCCTAGAGTCTCTGTATAGACATGCAGTTTTCTGATTTTCCATTCTTTAGTGAAACAAGAGTTTTCATACATTGCTTTTGTGTGATGCCATCCTATATATTTGTTTGTTTGTTTGTTTGTTTGTTTACTATTTTGTTTATTATTGAACTCCTTTTTGAGAGTTTAATGTGTTTCCAGAGGCTTTGGAGATATGAGTATGGGATTGGTTCTTGTACCATATGGTAACTCTTCTTCTATTTAAAATGTAATAGAACTTCACATGAACAGTTCACTTGCATGGTTTTCCTAAAATATTGTTTGTCCATTTTGTGCAAGCAACCATTACAATCTCTATATCCAGTAATTAATATTTATTTTTCAGCATTTGATCGTTTCACTCCATTGGTTAAACAGTTTGTTGTTTCTTCTTTGTCTACTATTTTCTTCAAGTTCGTCTCTATGTTATTGGATTTTATGAGTTTCTTGTGATGGTCACTGCATTTGGACAAAAATGTAACGTCAATTTGAAATATTTTACTCATGATCAGAGGAATATAAATGTTTTTGATAGGTATATTTTGATTTACCCACAAGGCTGTGATGTTTGCAATCACCTCTCATTGTTTCTTTGTGTTGCAAATCATGACAAGCTTCTTCCAGGTATGGAACATTGAATTGTTGATGATCGGATGAAATCAGTTTGTTGATATTCAGCTTTTCACGTGGTTATTGGTCTTATGAACAGGATGGAGCCACTTTGCGCAGTTCACTATTGCTGTGGTGAATAAGGATCCTAAGAAATCTAAATATTCTGGTATTAGCCAATTTTTATAATCGTTCTTGGTACTATCGTGTTACTCTAAAATCATCATCATTATGAAAAGACAACCTTAACTTATTTCTTTGAAACATGAAGATACATTACACCGGTTCTGGAAGAAGGAGCATGACTGGGGTTGGAAGAAATTTATGGAGCTGTCAAAGTTGTTGGATGGGTTTATTGATTCTGATACGTTGATAATTAAAGCTCAAGTTCAAGTTATCAGGTATTTGCTTATATAACACTTTGAATTTCCTTTTCGAAGGAATAACCACGATCTATGAATATTAGCATTTTCAATGGCTATATCAGCATGCAATTGTATGGTACTATGCTACCAAAGCATGAATGGGTGAATATCTTCAAGTATCCATGTTTAAAGTGGACGGGTGAATATATTCCTCTTCATTTTTTAACTTATTTTTTGGTATCTTGTACAGTTGTACTTTTTTGTTTATAGTGCCTTGTAGGGCTTCCCATTTGTGTGATTTTCATCTGAAAGTTGTTATGCCTTTTACTTGAACTTGATCGAGATTCTGAGAGGAGTCAACTTCTGGGTATAGAGTCTTATTTATATCCTCTTAGATGTTTTATTACTCAGATACAAAATAAGTATGCAAAGCAAAGTCAATATTAGTTACTATAATACGTTTCATTTAAAATTCAGCTTTGTATGTATAAACCTGTTTACATGTAACTTACTACTGTGTTATCTACTTTGTTCGGATGGATCTAGTGACCTTGAGAATTATTCCATTACGTATTCATTCCTTGATAAAACTTTCAACAATGGGTTTGCAGGGAGAGAGCAGACCGGCCTTTCCGTTGTCTTGACTGTCAGTATCGAAGAGAACTTGTTCGAGTTTATTTGACAAATGTTGAGCAAATCTGCCGGCGTTTTATGGAAGAACGAAGGGCGAAGCTGGGAAAGTTGATTGAGGATAAAACTAAGTGGTCTAGGTATTCTGTCTGTCTCTTTTCTTTTCTTTTTTCTTGGAGGGGTGTTGGTGGAGGGGGTTAGATGTGCTTCTGAATACGTAGATTTTGTTTGTGTAATCTAGGAAGATGTACTGTTTTCTTGTTGCATTCTTTTTCTAATGGAAGAAACTTCTAGTCAAGTCTTGTATGATTTGATAGTTTGTTTTGAGATGTCATGTTGGCTACTTGGAAAGAAAGATGAATATCTGAACTAGAATTTGTCAACTTTCATTTCTTTTTAATTGGGATATTGGATTAAAATGGTTAAAGTTTGTCGTAACCTCTTCCAATGTTGTAATCACTTTTCCTTCGACATCTCATGTTCGTTTGTAATCTTCAGTACGATTTCATGGAGCCAATAAGCATATTCCCTCTGTGATTGCAATATTGTAATGCAACTTCTAATAAATTTTCAGCTTCCGTGCTTTCTGGCTGGGCATGGACCAAAGTTCCAGGCGCCGTATGACCCGTGAGAAAACAGAGTCCATTTTAAAAGTTGTTGTGAAGCATTTTTTCGTAGAAAAAGAAGTCACATCTACCCTTGTCATGGACTCACTGTATAGTGGTTTGAAGGCCCTTGAAGGTCAGAATAAGGGAAAGAAGAGCGGCAAGTACTTAGAGGCCGGAGAATTACCTGTTCCTATTGTTCGCATTGAGAAAGACACATTTGGTTTGGTGGATGATGTGTTGCTACTTCTTGAGAGAGCTGCTGTAGAACCCTTGCCTCCAAAAGATGAGAAAGGTCCTCAAAATCGTACAAAGGTGAGAAGTTTTTAGTTCAAACTTTTATTCTCTGCCTAAAATGCAGCTGTAAAGTTTGTTATTTTAGATGAACTGCATGAGTAGTTCCTGCTAGTGGTGGTGGCTGCTATTATGGCTATGTTTGGTAAAACTAGCTGATAAGCTAGCTGATAGCTGATAAGCTAGCTTATAGCTTATATGTAATTTTTGAGCTTATAGCTTATAGCTTATGACTTATAGTTGAAAAGCTAGCTTATATGATAAAAGGTGTTTGGTAAATTAGCTGATAAGCTAGCTGAAATAAAAAATTCAACTAGCTTATTTGAAAAGCTACCTAAAGTAGCTTATGAAATAAGCTCGAGTTTTTTAAATATATTGAAAATCCTCTGCATTTCCCTTAGTGGAGATTCTCATATATAATAAACTCACTGGTGGTATCACTCTTCTTTTAGGATAATATAGAAGATGTTCATAATAATAATCTTACTTCTACTTCTCTTTGGTTACCCTTGATTTTGATTGTTATTGATTGACCAACTACTAAGTTATCACTTGGTTTAGGGTGTTAGGCTTTTATGAAGTCAGTCAGTCACGGGTTTAGACTCCCATGTAATGTGGAAGTGAAAGCTGTTGCTGATTCATTTCTTCATGCAGTCTTTCATCTTTCATGTTCCATTTAAGAGTATGTCTGACCCACTGGAAGAAAATGAGGTTCTTCCTTCCAGATTCTGATGGAATTCGATTATGACTATGCTTCTATTACTCAAAATTGATGTTTAACAAATTCGATAATATATAATACGGGACACTGTTTCTAGCCCTGGGAGTGACTGGATGATATTGTACTGAATGTCATCTTTTTCCTGATAATAGCTGGGTGCAGAACTGTTTATTGAGGCATTTTAAGGTGTGGGGAAAGGGCCATCTGAAATTGATAGTATCGCCAAATCTCAATGAATAAGTATCAGGGTGTTCGAGTATTACTCGATGTGGGAGGGATGACATTTTTGTTTCTTCTGTTATGTGTCTCAATCTTGTAGATGTGCATGTCCATGCCTTTTCTATTTGGATTCTATCTTGGTACTTCTATTATTTGAATCAACATCGAGTGGCAATTTTGTTAAATGAACATGCTTTGTTTCTGTGGATTTTTATTTCAAGGATGGGACTACTGGAGAGGAGTTCAACAAAGATTCTATTGAGCGTGACGAAAGACGACTTACTGAACTGGGTCGCAGGACTATAGAGATATTTGTCTTAGCTCACGTTTTCAGGTACTCAATTCATATTATAGAAGCCATCTTTGTTCTGCCATAAGCAGTCAATATGGATTTACAGTGCTCTTTGTCCAGTCCCTGTTGCTGTGTAAGGATCATGCATAAGACGTGGGAGAGCATTTTTAAGATTGAAATCGAAGAGCATGTTTGTTTATAAGATTTTCCAAAAAATTTCCAACATTTTAACTCAACCACTTTTTTTAACTCAACTTTAACTCAACTCTAACTCAACCCCACTATCATCAATATTATCAATATAATTAAATAATATCAATCAATCATCCATACACACCACATCAACCTTAATTCACTATTCATCTACTCACATAAATTTAACTAACCATCACATCGCATCTTCTCTCTCCTACTTTTACTTCAATTTAATTTTATCATTTTATTTTAAATATTATTTTAATATACCCACTAACAACTAACCATATCACCTTTTCAAAATTAACCAAACCAAACAAAAAAATCCAAACAAACCCAAAAAATTTTATAAACAAACATGCTCTAAGTGTTTTACTTTGCTTGCTTTCTCTCTGCTTCAAAAGAGTTCATGTTTTGTTGCCCTGCTTCTGTTAACTTTGCATTTGTTTTACATCTTTAGTGCCAATCACTTATTCACTTTTTAATTCTCTTCAGATTGCTAATCTTCACTTTGTTATGACAACAGCAAAATTGAAGTTGCATATCAGGAGGCTGTTGCATTAAAGAAACAAGAAGAGCTTATTCGTGAAGAGGAGGCAGCTTGGCTTGCGGATCTTGAGCAAAAAGCAAGACGTGGAGTTTCAGATAAGGAAAAGAAGTCTAAGAAAAAGCAGGTTTGTTAAACTTCATTAAACATTTGTGGAAAAGATCCTAGTTAGTTCCTCTTGAAGAGAATAAACCTCTTAAGAATTTATTCTAAAGCATTATTGTTTTTCTAAGAAACTAATGATGATAATGATGTTGGTTTATTAGATATATGTCATTCTATGTTGATAATTAACTCTGATGATGCAACCTCTTTTGCATTTCTTGGACGTTGGTTAACTCTGTTCCTTTTATCATCCACACATGTAAGACATTGTTTGCTTGTTTCGTGATACTTCCTGCCCTTTCTGTGTAAGAAATAATAATAATTTTTATACTGTCACCATTTCATAAAATTTTCAGAGCAAACAGAAACGAAATAATCGCAAAGGGAAGGATAAGGGACGGGATGAAAAAACTATCATAAGCGCTGTGCAAGACAAGGTTGATGAAGATAGTCATGCTGTGATGAAAGAGTTAGTTGCCGAGCCAGCCATTGTACTTGAAAAGTCTGAGGCTGTTGAAGTTGTATCTGATGTGTCTGATTCTGTTGATTGTACCCCCGACATTCTTCCACCAGGTTCCGAGGACAGGGATTTGAGTCCTGTCAATTGGGATACTGATCATTCTGAAGTGCAACCGCCAATAGACGTTTCAGTTGCTGCACAAAATGGTGTGGAAAGAAGAAGTCCATCAGTAGTGGATGATAACTCATCAACTTGTTCCTCTGACTCAGTTCCTTCTTCTGTTGCGAGTGTGACTAACAAAGGGAAATCACGCTACCACAATAACCAAAACTCTCCAAGCAGGTCACATATTTCATCTTCTCTTAACCATATTTGCTACCAAATACTACTCTATTGATTGTGCAATTTTTTATTTTTTTTAAAAAATATTAAAGGCTATATTTTTATGTTTTAGAATTATTATTGGTGTTCTTTTATTTGGTTAAGAGAACCTTCAGGCATTTTTTTAGTTATACATGACATTATCAGAGTGACAGTTTTTTGTTCCACTTTCCAGAGGGTGGAGCCACCAAAGCAAGTTAAGTTCTGGATCAGCTGATTGGATTAATGTAGAACATAATCAACCTGTACCAGATGCAAGGCAGTCAACTGATGCATCCCAAAGTTGTCTACCCCAGCCTTCAGTTCGGTCTTTGCCGGATAGAGTGGCCAATGGAGTTGAGCAGAAAGTGGGAAAAAAGGTGATTTTCTTTATTCAAAAATATGCATGGATGAAGATTTAATTGTAAGATAATTTTTTTTTTTTAGATGGTGTTGTTTTTGATGTATAATGATAACCATTCTTTCTCGGAATCATTGATCAATTTCAAAGGGTTAGTCAAGTGGGATCGTATATACTTGCTGCAATATTTCATAGTTCTGTTTTCACCGCAATTCTTTTCATCGCGATTCCCTATTGCTGAACATTTAATAATTGTTATAAACTTAATGTTTCAACATCCAGTAATTTCTTTGGTTATTCACCACAGATTGGCTCATTTTAATCTTCTTTTACTGTGGGCAGAGAACTATTTTCCCTTGAGATAATTTATTTTTTCCCCTGCTTTTCTTCCAGGATGAAGAATCCAGATCCATTCAGAGAAATCCGAGTGGCAAAGGCCCCGTCGATGCAAATCCACCCAGCAAAAGTGCAGCATGCGTAACGTCCCCGCCTAGAAGCCCCTCAAAAATCATCCCGTTAATCTCTCGTCTAGATTTGGACAGAAAGGCTGACATTGCTAAGCCAGCTCATATCTCTGTGCCTTCATCAACTTCAGCTGAAAACATCCCCACATCAGAAACTTCCAACCTTCACAAATTCACAATTCCAAATCCTGCTGTGAATACATTTAAACACCAAATGAGCACCCGGGTTGAGAAGCTTCCAGCACAGGAAGCTCCTGTGTCGTCTGATAAACCCTCGATTCCACCTTCGCCTGTCATGTCTAGGCCCTTAAGTGCTCCAGTAGCACCGGGTCCAAGGCCTGCTGTCTCCATTGTCTCTATGGTCCAAACGCCGCCCATTTTGGCCCGTTCTGTGAGCGCCGCTGGACGATTGGGCCCTGAGCCCAACACTGCATACACCAACCAGAGCTATGTCCCTCAGTCCTACCGAAATGCAATTATCGGTGGGCCCACCTATCCTCAGAATGCTTCTGCTAATTCTATCGTGAACTCGTCCAATTCTTACTCACAGCAGCCACCTTCCCAGCTCTTCTTACAGAGAACCGAACCCAATCCGGTGAAACCGAATCTTTCGTTGGGATTGTTGAGTCATTCCGAGGTCTTGCCGAACATTCAGAGTTACGATCTATACAACCCGGGCCGAATCGGGCCGCACTATCCCCTCCGGGCCGACTTCCCGGCCGGCACGTCCGGGCGCCAGAGCCACATGATGCCGGATGAGTTTCCGCATCTGGACATTATAAACGACTTGCTCGATGACGAACAGAGCATCGGGATCGTGGGCTCGTCCAACTCGGGCTACCAAGGTTTTGGCAGCAGGCCCCACTATCTGAACAGGCATCACAGCTTCCCGAGCGATCCGGGCCTTCTGGGGGAGCCCGCCCCATCGTGCAGGTTTGACCGGGCGTACCGGAGCTTTCAAGACGGGGGAGGACTTGTTCAGCATGGGTATGGTGGCTCGGGAAGAAGTTACGATGCGGTTAGGGATATGAATACCCCGACCCAGGTGGGCCCACAGCCGTATTTGAACGGGCAGCTTGATGGTTTTGTCCCGGGCCAGTGGCAGATGGGCGGCAGTCCAGATGTGCCGCCGTTCATGAGCGCAAGGACTATTATGGAAAGTGAAGGTGGAAGCTATCCGTATCATTTACCGGAGTATGCGAACCTGACTGTTGGGATCAATGGGTACACAGTATACAGGCCTTCAAATGGACTTTGAAGACGATTTTATATTATTTATAGGGGTGTATACTCTGTGGTTGTAATAATTTATCCAAGGGGGAAGAAGTATTGTTGTTGGATTTGCGCATCTGGGGTGCTAACCTTGGTGGTAAAGACTACATTTTGTAAATGAGCATCTCTGCCTTCTTTTTCTCGATATTATAATTTCACAGTGTTGTTGTTCTGCATAATATTAATATTCGTCTCAATGGGATAGAGTGTTTGTTCATAAAAAAAAAATAATAAAAAAATAATAATAATAATAAATAAATAAACAATCAATCAAATTTCTTAAAATTTTACTCAATTTTTACCCAATATTATCTTCAAGATAGTCGGTAATTTGGACGAAACTATGCTGATTTAGTCGGTGGTTAATCTCACTTGTATATAATTCTCAAATGTGTTGAGCTTAAGTGTGGGTGTGACTCGAGCGATCATTTGTGGAATGACTTGGGACGGGTTTTTGTTTCGTTTGATTCATTATGTGGGGACCGTGTCTCAGATTGGATTTTGATTTTGGGATAACCGGATGATAATGAGAGTGTCATTTTGCATGTTCGTTAATCTTGGACCGTTCGATATATCTCTTCGAGCTACTTCTTATTTTGTTTGCTTGAGGACAAGCAAAGAGTTAAGTGTGGGGGAGTTGTTTATTGTGTTTTTGTGCTTATTTTCGTGTGTTTTATGTGCTTGAGTTTAGTGTTTTTAGGTTCGTTTTAGTGTCAACCGGTCCATTTTATCGTGTTTCGTGCATTTTTATTCTCGTATTGTGTTTTTGTGGTTCGGCGTACTTTTCTTGTCTTTTTGGTGTTGTTTAGGTCCACATTATTCGATCTTGGGAAGACGAGCCATTTCCGAGACATTTTCGAGCCGTCCGAACCATATCCGAGCCACGCGAGCCGTTTCCAAGTATATATATTAGTTACGCGGCAATATCGATTTGAGCATTCCAAGATGAGGAGAAAAAGATTTGGGAAGCGTGGGTCAAAGTTTCGAGTCAATCGGATAACCGGGTGAAAAGTTAGAGCAAATCGAGTGACAAGGGATCACCGGCACACGCGGCGGGCTCGCGGAAAGCATGGCGAGCTCGAGAGTGCCTCGCATCAGCTGCTCGCGTGCTCGCGGATCTCCCGGCGAGCTCGAGAGTGCCCAGCATCAACAGCCGGCGTGCTCGCGGAACCAACGGCGAGCTCGAGAGTGTCATGCCCAAGCCTCATTCCTCACTCGCGTGCCCGCGACTCCGACGGCGAGCTCGAGAGTGTCTCCACCCATCCAAATCATCGCCGCGAGCTCGCGAATCTTACGGAGAGCTCGAGAGTGTTCTATTAAATGTGCGTGTTTTTAGTGTGTGTTTGTGGTGTAGCTATAAGTAGACATTATGCTTTGTATTTTTGGGAACAACTCTCATTTCCCAACTTTTAAGTTGGGAAAATCCTCTCTATTTTCTCTATTTTCTTTTTATGCTTTGGTTAGGAGCTTTATTACTCTAACTTTCCGGCAAGTTTCCGGCGACGTCATTTTATTTCAAGATTCGAACTTTTCCATCCGGTGTTCTTCACGCATGCATTAGGAGAGTGGGTAATTAGATTTAATCCTCATTACTTCGAATTTGCCCGTTTTTGCTTATGATGTGTTTCAAGGTGAAGGTGGTTTGCTTGTTGAATGGAGGAAAGTTTGATTTTTGTTGCTCGTCATGATGTGTTAGGGATTAGTTCATGCTTATCTTGAGTAAAGGGCACGACTTGGATTTAAGCGTAGTCATTAGTTAGAAAGCTCGATTTAATCACCTTGGATCACATGGCTACTATGATGTTGCTTGGTTCGTTGCGTCTATTCGAGTGATAGAGACTCCGGATGACCTAAAGTTTTCATCTTGCATAACTTGCTTTCATTTGCTCTAGATTGTTAGTTTAATTTCATGTGAAATCAACCCTCAAATTGCGATTAGCATGTTTAGGACCTTTTTGGTTGTGTGACTTTGACGACTAGATAGTGAACGAAGCTCCGAAGAGTCTTCCTTTGAGAACGACCCGAGTCGGGTAACTCGGTTACCACATGCCCAAAAATACTACAAACAAAATGGCGCCGTTGCCGGGGAGTTGCCCAAATGTGTTGTATATAATTCTCAAATGTGTTGAGCTTAAGTGTCATGTTCTGAGATCTCATATGACAAAATTTCATGGTTCATTATTTGACTTGCATAGCTTTTAATTTACTTCCATTTCAAAGTTAATTAGGTTAGAATTATCCATATATATGTTGATTATTTATAGTATTTTAAATGTATTAATTGTATTTTAATATTAATTCATATTTTTACTGTTGAATTGTAAGTGTATTTTAAAATTTAATTTTATTTTCTATTTCTTATCAGTTTGATGAATTACGGTTTGAAATCCACATTTAATGTATAAAATAAATAAATTTACTTATCGTTATAATTATATAAAATTATTTATTGATATTAAATACAAATATAAAATCATTTATCAATTAATATCTTTATGTTTAAAGTAGTTATATGGTATAAGTTAGAAAAATTATTAGAATATAACACTAGTAAGCAGCACAAGTAACAAATTTCATTATAAAATATATGATTATCATATTTTTTGTAAAAAAACTATTTAAATTTTAAAATATTTTTCCTTATTAATTTTAAAATTTAAGATTTCTTTTTAACAAACACTCGTATAATACACCGGTGTTGTACTAGTAATGTATGAGAGAGGGATTTTTTTTAGCATACATATAGGAATCAAGTTTTAGGAAAAACCGACGATTTTATTATTTAAATCAAAAAAAAAATAAAATTAACTAGACAAAAATAAAATAAAAAAAGGAGGTCGACCAAAACAAAACAGACGTATTCTCAGAATACGTTTTCTATTGTAGAACGTATTCTGATCATACGTTTTAAAGTTAAAACGTATTCTCATGTTCTGTTTTATAACGAATTAAATTTTTAAACGTGATTAACTTAATTATATTAATATAAAACGTGATTAAGAAAATTAAATTAAAGTAAAACGTATTTTCAGATTACGTTTTATAAAAAACGTATTCTCGAAAATACATTTTAAATACAAAAACGTATTTTAGATATACGTTTTTTCTTTAAATAAATTTTATATACATATAAAAAATTTGTAAAATGTTTGAATTTTTTTTTTTAATGGAAAACGTATCCTCAGAATACGGTTTTAGTGAGAAAACCGTTATCTGAAAATACATTTTCAAATAAAAAAAATATGTAAAACGTATTATGAAAATACGTTTTACTGTACAGAAACATCAATTTTACAATAGAAATAAAAATAGAACACCTATTTGTCGAAATTGATTCCACAACCAAATATTGAACAACCAAATATTCATCCAAAATATATCAATTCATAAATAAAATTGAAGCACAATCATTTATTTAAAATACCAATATGTGTGAATTTAATTACACAAAAGTCAAGAAAAAAAAATGTCCATAAATTTCCTGATAGTTGCTAGGAGTGAATTGATTCGGAGGTCTGCGCTCCCGGGAGCCCTTCCGACGCTGGTACGTCTGTAAAGAAGAGGAGGTTGTGGGCGTGGCAGCTTCTTCTGTATCTGTGGACGTGGCAGCTTCTTCTGTATCTGAATAAATAATATTTTAAGAAAAATCGGAAATTCTACTATACAATAAATAAATAAATAATTTAAAAATCATATTGTAGTTAACTAAAAAAATCTGACCTTCTTCTGCTTGTTCCTCAGGCACGGTATTGGGAGGCACGGTGTCGGCAGGCACGGTGTTGGCATCGAGTTCGCGGACACGGCGTCTTCTACGCCCGCCAATATTGGCAGCAGGTCGATGCCTCGCCCGGTGCGACTGCGTCGGTTGGGGTTGGACATAGCTCTCTTGAGATAGAACTTGACTCGACGACGTCCCTTGCGTGACCCCTTGTCCTCCGACAGTCAGTCCACTGTGGAGCATGTTTTGGGCATTTGCGATTATGGACTGCTGCACTGGAGTGAGTGCATTATAGTCAAGGGTCGATAACAAGTTATAAACCCCCTCCATGGCATTGGCCTGAAAAAAAAATTTGAAAATTATTACCATTAAAAAAAAATAATAAAAAAACACAATTTATTAACACTTACACTGCACATCCCCTGCTCGGACAGTGGATGAAAGCCTCCTTGCTGTTGGACCACCGGGTTGTTGCCAGGATTACTGGATTAGTCTTCGAGTCCTATAGTGAAACCAATCAAGGTAACCCGGCTCAGGCTCAAGGAACGACTCCACAGGGTAATGTGGAAGGACATGTTGGGCTCTTTGGTCGACCCAAATATTCCCAAGTGCTCCATGATACTCCACCCAATCATAGGATGCCCTCCTAGTCATTCCCTGGCCTCGGTGGTGTGTCTGGTACTCAGCCAAACCCCTAATGATCGGAGGGTCGGGGATGGCTTGCCGACACCCGAACTGACGGATGACCCTATCCGTCAGGTGCTGCTCACGAATGTCCCAACAGAAGATCCACCCTCTATACATCCAGAGGTGTGAACCTTCTGTACACGAGGCCGAGAGAGTACCCTCGTCCAGGTGGCGCTTATATGACACCCAATTGAACTGTAAAAAAATAATAATGATAATATTTATTAAGTTATAGAAGAATAAAAAACGAAAAACAAATATATATAATAATCAATATTACTTAATAAAATCTTACATCATTCTCTGTCAGCCACGTTAATTGATCTCGGATAGCGGTTGTTCCCTTTCCGATGTGTTTCATATTCCTCCGTCCCACCCACCTTAAAAATTAAATAAAAAAAAACAAAAAAATTTAATCACAAAATTTTATAGTTAAAATATTTGAAGTATGGTCTCAATGTCGCCATTCCACCGTGGAATAGCATACTCGTACGTATCTATCCTGGAAGGGTCCCATTCACCCATCTCGCGGTATATGTGCCGACCACCAATAGGGAATGGGTGTTCTTCTTCGATGAACTCGGCTTCACTCTCCTCATTAACCGATCTATCTGATTCAGTTTCTGAGGTCTCGTCTGTGAAGTCATCTTCACCGGGAATAAAATCTTCATCGTACTCATCCGCCGCCCATTCTCTCGATGTCCCTTCTCCAAAATTAGGTACATGAGAAGTCGATGTACCCTCGACATCAAACACTCCCCCGTAACAAGGAGTAAAATCCTCAAACTGTGTAACGGGTGTATTTGCCTGCAACGATAAATGCAAATACACCATGGACATACTAGGAAAATAATAAATCCATTCAAAACTATCGTTATTGAGTATTGCGGGATTTCACGAACCATCGGGTTGGCTAATCATCATAGTAATCTCATGAATTGTCCAACCTTCTTCAAACTGACATTTTTCATTAATCATCTGTACCAACTGTTCATATGATATCCTCCCCGGAATTATAAATGAACCACTCGGACGATCTTTAAATGAAACAAAATCGCTTAACATTTCCTTCCCAAAATGCCAGTACAAATTAACAAGGTATGGACCGGGATAGACCATTTTATACCTGTTGCAAATAAACACTTTCAATTCTTTTTCCAAAAAACTCAATTTTTACTCTCCAACAAAAAATAAAAAATAACAAAAAATAGCCCCAATCAAATAATCATCTAAAACCATTAAACTCATAATCTAAAGATAACATAAAATTCATCTATAATTCGGATAAATTGAAACCCCTCATTCTAACCCTAATTTCGAAAAACCCTAACCCCAACAACAACCAAACAATATACAATTGACAATTTACACACAAAATTTCAATCCTCAATTCAACATACACACATAATCGATAATCAATTAGCAATTTTCAATCTTCAAATACCACCACATTCAAACATATTATACCAATCCTCAATCTCCAAACAACTTCAAATAATGTAAAAAGTAAAGATAAGACAATATACCTCGTGCGAATAAATTAACCGGAAATGAGACTCGTGCCGGTATTGTCGGTTCACGCCGGGATGAAGATTGGATCGAGTTTTTTTTTTCACGCAGAAAAATCGCTCCTCTTGCTTCTTTTTTTTCGTTTTTGTTCGTGTTTTGCGTGAATGAAATGGAGAGGAAGATATTTTTATTTTTTTTATTTTTTTTTATATTAAACGTAAAAAATGTATTCGGAGAATACGTTTATCGTCAATTTAATTGTAAAACGTATTCTCAGAATACGGTTCAATAAAATATTATTTTTCTCAAAATAATTTATTTTTCTCCTGAAACGTATTTTCATAATACGGTTTGCTAAAAAAACGTATTTTCAAACTACGTTTTATAAAAATACATTTTAATTATTATTTGCCTATTTTTTTTTTAAGGCGTTTTTTTTTAAAAAAATACATTTTAATTTTTTTTTTAAAAAACGTATTATCGGAATACGTTTTCTTGATTAATTTTTTTTTAAGAAAACGTATTCTGAGAATATGACTGTTTTGTTTTGGTCCACTCTTTTTTTTTTATTTTATTTTTGTCCACTTAATCTTTTTTAAATAAATAAACTTCCCAAAAAACGACACTTTCTCCAATTCATGCTAATTATTGATTAATTAAACTAATCTGTTTTTTATAATAATTCTGTAGCATATGTGCAAATAAATATAACAACTCTCGCTATATTGTTAATAATTATATGAGGGGTGTAATTATGTAAAAAAAAATATAATAATCTAGTGTAGAGGGTAATTTTTTATTTTTTATTTTTTTAAAAAAAAGAAATTTTGGAGATTTATATGTCTAACACATCATAAATAATAATAAAAATATATTTCTTTTTGAAATAATAATAAAAATATTTAAGTTAAAAATATATAAGTTATCAATTATACACGAACAACTTCAGTACTTGTACGTTGTGCTACAATAGTTATACCTCGAGTCACCAACTGTACGGAAACTGTAAAAACCAATATTATCCAATTCCCGTTAAACAGGGTCGCCCACCGCATCTCTTTCTCCCCCATTTTCTCTCTCTCTCCTCTGCAACAACAAATCCCCATTGCTCAAAATCCATGTAGCAAAAGCGAGTCCTGTCACTGTTCTCCCTTCAAATTTGTCTTCCAAGAATAATTGAAAGCGATGGAAGGGGTTTGGATCGGATTGACCGACACCATGCTGGAGTTCTTCAATTATCCGGCGGTCACTGAAGCATTCGTCGACATATTGGTCTGCGCGGTCCCGATTTGGGTCGCCGTGATGATCGGCCTCCTCATCGGGTGGTCCTGGCGCCCCAGATGGGCGGGTCTTGTTTTTCTCGGGTTCCGATCCAAGCTCCGTTACGTTTGGACCCTCCCGCCGGGGCTCGGCGCCCGGAGGTTCTGGCTCGCGTTTACCGCGCTCTCGGCCTTTTCGCTCTGTCGTGGGATTTGGTTCCGCTCGCGCGGATTGAGCCGCAAGCTGGGGAAGTCGTCGGCTCGGGAGCTGGCGGATTCGGCTCAGGAGCTGGCAGGCGATGCACGGGAGGCGGCTGCGGTTGGTGATAGTGGTATCAGGTACCTTTCAGATTAGTCTGTTTCTCTATTTCCCTTTTACTTTTTATTGTACGATGTTATACTTGTGATTGCTTGGTAATTGTGTTCGTGGGTGTACCTGCGGAGGAGGTGAAATGTGTAGATTTTGCTTAAATTAAAAGCTTTTATCAGTTCATCTGTAATATGTTTAGAATTGGAACTGTGGATAGAGAAATGGGTCATGAGTTTGTTGCTAGTTCACTGTTATTTGAGTTACAGAGCAACCGGGGAGAAGATTATTATTATCCCTCCCTATATATCAATTCAAAACGTGTTGAGCCTATGAGCCTAGGTGGCAGGTTCTCACGCTTCGGATGTTGACATGGCGAAAATCTATGCTTCGTGATATTGTTTTTATATTATTTTTGCTCTGAAATTAGGTTTGGTATTAGACATAAATAAATTTACACATATATTCATTAACTCAACACCCATGTTGTACATGGGTATTAATACTAGTTATTATTATTATTATTGAAAAAACTCATTATTATTATTATTATTATTATTATTATTATTATTATTATTATTATTATTATTATTATTATTATTATTATTATTATTATTATTATTATTATTATCATCATCATCTGCATTGTATGTTTACCATGCCCAATTAAATTTTATATTGTTTTTAAACCTATGTATTCAGTTGGTCACTGTGCAAGAAACAGAGACCTATCTCATGGATTGAGCAATAAAGATCATCTTTTCTCTCATTTTTCTTTTGTGGATGCAACTTAGGCATTTCCTGTAAGCTATAAATATATAATGTGGATACAATGCTACTCATTCTTTTGTGTTTTGGAACACTAGTATTTTTATGTAATAGCTTTTCAAGGAAGTAAAGAAACAAAAATGTGGTACATTATCTGCAGATTATTTTTTCTGGCATTATATTGGTTCTGTGTATAGTAAATAGGTCCTATGTTGGATTGGTTTATATGTCAATCACTAGTTGGTGCGTACTTCAACAACGGTCTTGCCATGAAACATGCTAACATCTGTTTAAATATTGAACTTACTCTGACGTTGTAAGTTTTACATTTTGTTACAACATCGGTTTTAATTTTACAATAGTTATTGGGGTCAAAGATTAGAAGGATGAATTTTTAGGTGTTATTGGCTGTGTTACAGCTATCTATATGGATACTCTATGTTCACCATTCTTAGGATAACATCACCAGTGGTTTCTGGTGTTGTGGAGTTGATTCCTGGATCTATTTAGTCAGGAAATCTGTCTTATCCAGGCCTGTTTGGTTACTATTTCATTTCTACAGAATGATGGTATTGTTTCTCATTCTATTGGAACTTCATCATTTAACAAATAATGCATCCAGCTAGCGTACATAGGAAGTCAATTTATAGACCACATATGTTTATGTGAAGTTTCTACTTGTCGTTAACTAAAATCCTTGCCGAAGTCATTTAAGGTTTTTCACTGGGGCCTTAGACTATCTTTATTCATAACCCAACCCAACCCAATTCTTTTAATAAAATACTCATTTCTCTCTCCTCCACTTATACAACCCACAACCCAATTCTATTTCTACTTTTATCCATGACACCAACCCAACCTAATATTTTTTCTTTTCACTTTATTTTTAAATAAAATTAGATATATTAATTTGTATTAATATTATACTCTATTTATAGAGAAAAAAAATATGAATTTTGATATAATTTTTATATATTTTTTATTTAAAATTATTTACAATATTATTAATTTAAAAACATAACAAAAAAAAAATACAATCCACCACATGCTGCCAAGTGGCAGCTTGTAGTTCATTCAAAAATTGGTTGGTCGACATGCCTAGGTTGATGACTCTGGTGGGGGAAATTCAAATTTTACTTTTTTTTTTTTATTCTTTTGTCGTTTCTCACGCCACCGCCCCGGTGGCGTTAATAAAGATGGTCTTATAATAGATATTCAAAGTACAGGAACGTTGCTTAAATGAGTATCTTATCATCTGATCACAAATTGGCTCAAACTTCACGTTCAAGGTATTAAAATACAGCCATTGATAAGTTGATGTAATTTCCTTTGACTATGTAGGAGTAGTAGCGTGTTTAAAAATCCCCTTTCTTGGCTCCGTTTAAGCACCTTTTCATCCAAGCAGGATATTGTAGTAGTTTGATAAATTACAATTCAATAGATATTTTATCCAATACCTTTACAATAACTTTTTCCATGAAACAAGCTTGACAAAATCAATAAGTATGGAGACCATCACTGGAGATTCAGATGCGGAATTGAATAGTGTCACAGACAAAGACTTGGAACACCTGTTGCATCTTCTCGATGGGAAAGAAGGGGAACTGGCATGGCAAAGCATGATGGAACGCTCAACATCGAACATGATGTACCAAGCCTGGCGTCATGAGCCCGAGGTAAGGCTAGCCCACGTATTAAAATGTGTTCACCTAGCAATTTTGAAGTAAGTTCTAATGTAGGGAATTTTTTGTGTTGATCTATGATTTTTGATATGTTAATTAAATAATTGTATTTATTCAGTATGCGGTTTAGTAAATATCAATGAACACAGTTGCTTGTTTTGTTTACTAATTATATTGTCCTTAGTAGATGCTGTCTGTAAAAGAGACCGACAACAAAAGTTCCCATTTGGTTTGGCCCAATTACAGAGAACCAAGTGAACTTCCACACTGCAATAATCTGGGGGATTTTATTTTGTTTTACATTACCCCCCTGGATAAAGGCATTTCAATGTCCTATCTCCATATTTATTAAAATAGTAGAGCCAGCCCATTAACTTTGACACCAACCCAAATTTAGCTGTATATTATTAGTGTGTAGTTCTGTCAAAAGTCGAGCCTAGCTTCTGTAATTGTTCTTTGTATCTATGGTTTTGGCTACTGTAAGTGAAGAAAATGGGTTTTATTGACACCCACTTGAAAATAAGTGCATTTCTACTCTTACCGAAACATCTTATTTGCAGGTGGGTCCCACAGTGTATCGCAGCAAGACAATATTTGAGGACGCAACTCCTGAGATGGTCAGAGATTTTTTCTGGGATGACGAGTTTCGGCCCAAGTGGGATCCTATGCTTGTCTATGTCAAGATACTCGAAGAATGCCCCGAAACAGGGATGATGATTGTCCATTGGATTAAGAAGGTTGACTGCCATTGGCACTTGAGCAGCCATTAAATGTTTTTATTTCTATTCGACCTCTCATCAACTAACTCTGTTCCTGCCTATGCAGTTCCCTTTCTTCTGTAGCGATCGAGAATACATCATCGGTAGGAGAATATGGGAAGGAGTGAGAACTTATTATTGCGTTACAAAGGTATGATTTTATGTTAGAATTGTTATGCTAGAGCCAGTTGCATAGTGTTTTTTCCTTTATGTTCGCTTACAACTCCATGCCTTTCAGTTTGTTTACTTGTAGAAACTTGCTGCATTGTGCTCCTTATGTTGTTAAAATCTCCTTTTACTCAAAAATTCCATTATCCTATTGTTATTTTACTATGATTACCTTTCTCTCATGCATGTCTTATCCATCTTGGAGATCGTTTTACCATAGGGATAACTAGAAAAACTACCCCACAAGGTTTATTGTGCTATTTACAGGAACTGCTCTAAGGTTGATTCACATTACATTTTACCCCATCAATTATACCTGACATGACGTAATTCCTGACATCATCGGCCGTTTTATAACTACATCCTCGACTTTTCAAAATGTTGCTAGCCACCCCAACATCGCATCTGTCTATTTGTAATACTTCCAAAAATTTGAGTGATTTAATGTAAATTGTAAAACAGAAAAATTGTGGCTTATCTGTAGTATCTAGAAACACAGGAGGATGTACTGCAGAAATATTTGAGCTTGTGAGCTATTTTCGTTCGCTTCATACTATGTGCAGAAACGAAAACCGAACCTCAGTTGGCTGAATTTTCTTTGTTGTTGTAATCTGGTCAAACCTCGAGTATAGTTTTTGTTGTTATGGGCTTGTGCACATCAACCATGAACTCATCCGATCTCTGCACGCCTAATTTCCCAAATCGGTACCTACAGGGAGTGCCATATCCATCTCTGCCAAGGCGCGACAAACCCAGGCGTGTCGATCTCTATTTCTCAAGCTGGGTCATCAAACCTGGTAAATGAATACTTCTCTTTTTTCTTTTTCCCATCCCTTTTTCCTTTCACAGACAAATATACATTATTTACAACTATCGTTTTCTTGGAAAAATCATGCAGCACAATCGCGCAGAGGGGACAGTCAATCATCCTCCGCGTGTGAGGTCACCCTCATTCATTACGAGGACATGGGCATCCCAAAAGATGTCGCCAAATTGGGTGTCCGTCACGGCATGTGGGGCACCGTCAAGAAACTGCACGCCGGATTCCGAGCCTACCAAAACTCCCAGAAATCGGAGACCTCTCTTTCCCGGTGTGCCCTCAACGCTCGAGTCACGACCAGAGTCTCATTCGACCAAGAGTCTGATGACGGTGGGGACGGCGCGATTTCGGGCCGAGAAGGAGGCGAGTTGGAGGCGGCTGATGGGAAAAATAAAGTTGGCGACGGTGGCAGTGTTGGGATCGATTGGAAGTGGGTGGCGGTTGGTGGGGCCATTGCCGTTGTCTGTGGGCTCCACACGGGGCTCATTGGGAAGGCGGTGGTGGTTGGAGTTGGGCACAGGATTGCGAGGAGAAGGGGGATTACTCGTTCTAGGTGAGGTTCGTTTGTTTCTCTCATGGAGCATCCATTTTTTTTGTTTTAAAAAAAAAAAAATTGAAATGAAATTAAAATTAAAATGGCGGTGGCTTGAGATTTGCGATTATGGAGGATATGCGATATTTCGTTGTCCTACTGTTTATTTATGACGTATTTGAGTGTAAAGTTGTTATATAATAGTGGGAGCTTTGTGGCGTAGTAGCTTTGAACTGAGCCTATTAATATATGGCGACTTATGTTGATTTTTTTATGTTATATGGTGACTTATGTTGATTCTTTTATGTTATTTTTGGCTCCAGTTGCTGGGTTGAGGAGGATTTAGTTTGTTCTTACAGACCTTTGGTCCCATGTGTTATTCTGATGATGCCATGTTAAATTGGTCGGTGATGCTCAAAATGATCATTATTTTATTCTCAAATTGCTAAGACCGTTTTCCATTTTGTTTTTATTAAAATGCATACTTATATTTACTAATCATAATTTTTACAATCATTAAACCTGTTTAACGACACTCTTACGCCTCGTTTGGTTGGTTTTTGGCGTTGAGTTTGGTTGGTTTTAGGAGTGGTTGAGACTAGGTCTATAGGTCATCTTTTCACTTAGAGGAAAAATATGAAGGGCAGAAATTTTGTGGAAGAAAAGTTAGATAGACTTTTACTCTCTCCTAATTGGATTTTGTTTCGAAATTCTCTAGTTAAGAACATTTCTTTATTGTCTTCTGACCATAGTATGATTATCTTGGATAGTTTTGGCTCCTTTCAAATCCGGAAACCTAGGTTCTCTGTTGATGATAGGTAGACCAACTTGAAAAGATACGACCAGGAAAAGGACTTAGAATAGACTTGTCCATGGCCCTGAGCTTTTCAGTTTGCAAGCTAGGATTAGAAATGTTAGAATTGTCTTGTTTGGAAATATGGTAAGAGAACTAATTCTTCCATCTCAATTGATGAGTGTAGAGAAAGATTGAATTTGCTCGATCAGCAAGGGGAGTGAGAAATTGGACTGATTGGAAAGCCTTAAAAGATGAACTCCATGAAGCTTATAGAAATGGAGAAATCTACTGGAGACAGAAGTCTAGGATAACTTGGCTTAAAGAATGGGATAGGAACTCTTAAGTATCTCCGGGCTAGTGTGAGGCATAGGTGAAAGATCAATTTCTCAGATAATATTACCGAGACATATGAGAACAGGTGTGAAAATGATTGGGAAATCTTAAATGAGCTGAAAAATTACTTTGAGAATATATTTAGATCTACTAATCCCCCCAAGAGCAGAACTGTAACTTAGAGGGTATATTTGTTTTTTTTACTAAGGATATGAATAAGAGTCTTGTTAGAGAGGTGGGGACGAATGGAGATTAAGGCAGCCTTGTTTGATATGGAGCAGGATAAGGCCCCTGGGGCTGATGGTATGACAACCTCTTTTTTATCAAAATTCTTGGTCTACCATTAGTCAATCACCTGATTCTTGTTGTTCTTTCAAAAAATGGGCGAATGCCTAAGGGGTTGAACCACACAATTATCACTCTTATCCCTTCGGCTGACCCTGTTCTTGTTTCTAACTTCTGGCCTATAAGTCTTTTGTTCTGTGGTGTATAAAGTGATCGCCAAAATCTTAGCAAATGGGATTAAACTTGTTTTGTTTTGCTGTATTTCAACCTCCCAGTCTGCTTTTGTCCCTGGGAGGCAAACCTTGGATAGGTTGTCATTGTCTGAATAGCAAAGAAAATTTCATGGCCATTAAGCTAGATGTGGCTAAGTAGAATGGGCTATTTGTTACTAAAATTTATAGGAAAATGGGCTTTTTTTGAGGTCTTTATCTCTCGAATGCTTGCTTGTATTTGTTCTACTTCTTTTTCATTTAACATCAAAGGTTCTGCTCAGGGTGTATTGCAGCCTTCTAGAGGCTTGAGGCAAGGAGACCCTTTATCCAACTACCTGTTCATTATCATTTCATATGCTTTTTCTACTCTTGTCAAGGAGTCGAGTGTTTGTGGGATATTTAAGGGGATCAAAATTGGTAGGTTTACTCCTGTTATCTCCAATCTATTTTTTGGATATGATGTTATTCTTTTCTGTAAGGCTACCTTGCTCATGCTCATGCTCATGCTCATCTCATTTTGTATATTCTTGAACAGTGAGTTGAAGTGAAACCATTCCAAATTTAGTTGATTACAAGCATATGATCATGTACGAACACTTTTTATTGATGAAAGATTCTTGATAGATTATCAACGCATAAACAAATTCAATCCCGCGCGTGTATGGACTTGTTGTTATCACGCGGGCCGCTATTATGCATGTCTTATTGATGACAGATTCTTGATAGATTATCAACGCGTAAACAAATTCAATCCCGCGCGTGTATGGACTTGTTGTTATCACGCGGGCCGCTATTATGCATACTAAACGTATGATAAAGTTGGGATAATTAAACATATCCAATCCTAACAGCTGAATCAAATAGGGCCTTGTAGGACCGTCTATAGATTTTGCTACATCCAACATAATGCTCCACCTGCTAATCAAACACTTTACCACTTAATACACCTTCTTAATTCTTATGTATTTGTATACTGCTACGACAAAACGGTGTGTTCATTTACCATACCAAAATAATTGGATATGTTGTTAACTTTTTGTCCAAATTAGTACTATTCATCTTTTTCTTTTTTCTTTATCTTGAATATTATCAGCATAATTAATAAAATATAATTTACATCATTACTATACATTATTCAATAAAAACTCATTACCCATCCACTCGCATATATTTAGTTATAAATAATTTATAATTATTATTTTATTATTTTTATATCAACTCAAATTTAATTATTATATTATTTTTTATCCGTTCAAAAACTCAAAAATAATTCATTTTTCACCCAAGATTTTCCACATTTTCATCAATTTACTATTAATTTTTTTTTTTTTTCTTTTCCAAAATTATAGCTATGGATCGATGGATCGCTAACTAGATTGTGAAATTTTCATGTATACATAGGACAAAATCCAAATCATCATACATGAATGAATTATATGGAAAACGATGAAACATAACTAGGGGTGAAAGCGAGGTGGATAATTTCCGCATCCGATCCGATCCGAATCCGCGTTACGAGGATATGGATTAAGGTTTTAGATATCCATGAGGATATGGATAATCCGCATCCGATTGTTGCGGATATGGAGGAGGATATGGTATTGGCAATATCCGGTGGATATGGATTATCCGACAATTTAAAGTGGATTATCCGACCTTTATAAGAGGATATCCGATTATTTTACATAGCCCTAAATAATATAATCCCGGTCCAACTAGCCCACACAAACCATATAAAATTACTCATCGACAGACACCCTAAAAGCTAAGGATACGGCGGCTGGTTCCACAATCATCTCGCATGCAGGTCGCTGTCAGCGACATCTATTTGCATCTTCGTTCCCCGGCCGCCGCTACTCTCGTGCGTGCTACTGTTTTCTTCGACACAACAAGTCAGCACTAGGTATTGTATTGCATTTTACTATTTTTTTACCCAATCTTGTAATTGTTCTTCCAGTTCCGACTTTCTACAACCAGCCTCACTCCAGGCCGGCACACAGCACATGTACGAATCATTTTGTTGGTGAACGAATGAGTTATCTCCTAGAAGATCGATGGCATCATCATGATCTTTCTAGCATCTATGGACCATCGTGGCTGTATGGATCTTTTGGGGCCTTGGTGTAGATCATGTATATGTCGATCCCCACTGGATAGTTGATACAAATCCCTACCCAGAAGAGATCTATATATCTGCATCACTGCATGCATGATGCATCTATATATAGCTCGGACCTATGACTATGAGGCTATGATTTTGTATAGCGGGTGTATTGCTTAATTATTAATGGTTTAGCTTAGCTAGTTGTGAACTAGCTATGTACTTGGCTCGTCTCGTTAGCAAAGTACCTAAGGAACTCAATGTTTTGTATTCTTTTTTAATTTTTCTTGCAACTTTGCTTTATTAATTATTATTCGTCATAAAGAGTTGAGTAGAAGCATGTATTATCCGACTATATAAATCCGCATCCGATCCACTTCCGCTCTGAATCCGTACCATCTCTGATATCCGAAACAATCATCCACATCCGTATCCGCCCAATATCCGCTCCGCTCCAAATCCGCAAAAATAAAATGAATTAGGATGTGGGAAAGGCATTATCCGCACCGCACCGCACCGTTTTCATCCCTAAACATAACCAATGAAAATTGCGTTTTTCTCAAATATGAATTAATTAGAACTTGTACAATACTTGTATACTATACGACGTACTTGTTGAAAAAATTATATATTTAAAATTAAATAATAACAACAAAAATTGGTGTAGTTTTTAAATACTTTTTGAAAATATATACTATTATTTAAATTTAAAATGACACAGTCTCTTACACGACTTACAATCTTTTATATATATATATATATATATATTAATTTATGTAGATAACTAATTTATAGTTAAGTTAGTTTAAATAAATTTATTTTTTTAATTAATTTAATAAGTAATTTTTTTTTCTTTTGTATGTATAATATATGTGTCAAATCGAAGCTCATCAAGACATGATTAACTTGATATACTATATATAAAAATTTGTTAATAAATTAAAAAAAAAACTTTTAAATATAATTATAATTTGAGTTAGTAAAATTCTTATAATTTTAAAAGAAATATTATAAAAAATTATACCTTATAAATCTCGTGTACAAAAGGAAATAGGATTATACATAATTAATGATCTTAAAAGGTACCGTAAATATCCAGTATATTTATGGATATTCCAAGCCTAGTTATTTTTGGATTGGAAATAAATTTAAACTAGTACGAATCCCGTGCGATGCACGGGTAAGAGATATTTATTAATATTTATAACTGAAAATTCTCAATAAATAATATTTATTTATACATTAAAAGCATGTGGTCAATATTTAATACAATGTACCTATATTAATTTATTAAAAATATTATATAAAATATAAATTGTGTAAAATTACATAAAAATGTTTATTAAAGTTAGTTCACAATCCGCGCGTTACACATAACTTATAATAAATTACGTTATATTCGTTTCAGAATATGTGTCATCTCAAAATTTTTATTCAAAACTTCAATTTTACTATAACGCGATACACATATTTTACTTGTGGTGTGCCCAAAAAATTTTACTTAAACGGGCCCAGATTTTACTTTTGGTGTGCGCATCAACTTTTTTGCCACGTCAGATTTTCGTTAACGACCCGTTAAAAGCGTGTATCGGGTGGCCAAGAATGTAAAGGTCATGTATTTATTTGTCAAGGTCTGAAGGTCATGATTAAATGGTCAAACACGAAAAGGTCGTGTTATTTCTCTTATGCCTATTATTTATAAAGTATTTTAAGTTAAATAATTGGGCTGAATAAACCCAGTTGAAAAGGGGACTTCTTTCTAGTTGCAAATCCAGGCCCGTTTAAAATGGAGTAGGCTAATTTCTAGTTTTTTAGCCCTACATAAAAAGAGTCAGCCCAACCTATAAGAAATAATACATATAACTCACCTAAAAAACTGCCCAAATAATATTATTTAGAGTCCAACAACATACAATCCACTTACATACCTTTTAATCGGACGATTTAGAAAAGTCAAACAACAAATGGACGGATAGGATTGATTGGTGCAGTGATATATAAACATTACTCGAGTCATTTGGAACTTCCAGCCTTTCCATTTACTCGATTCATCTCATCCAAGCCCGTACATTTCGTTCAAATGTCCAATTCCGTCTATTGAAAATTTCCAAAAAAAATTGCGTTTGCTTTCTAAAAAACGATATAATCGTCTGTTTATTCGTGTTTTTTTTTTTTTTTGATCGGTCGCTTTCGATTTCATTCATGGTAGTTTACAAAAACTATTTTTGTAAAACTACGATTTACGTAACCGACCTATGATGTACACGTCCATATTTGTATCGACAAAATTCTAGCCAGCTAGTCGCGAGGGTATAGTGATAAGAAAGGTAATATCATGTTTTTAGCTTCCGCGATAAGATTTGTCGATTGGAATTTAATGTCGAGTCAGTTAGCTTACTGTTTTTTAGAATAGTTTGATTATATGTTACAAAATCGAGTTTTTTTTTTTTTGGTACTAATCATTTTTTTTATGCATCTTCATATTATAATATTGAGACGACAACCGATTTCGAGCACCGAAGAACATTCGAAGAATCTAGATGGAGTTCGAAGGGAAGATTTGACACCATCGCAACACAATCCCGAGTGTCCGTTACCAGGTCAAGTAAGGTAAAAACCCGTAAAGTTTTTTGTTTATTTTATTGCTTAGTTTTTTCTAAATTTGTAGATTTTATTATTTGGTTGTATGTTAAGTTTTCAATTATTCTTTCTACAGAGTAATACGAATTTGGTAGCTTAAAGAATATAAATCAAAGTTTTAATTTGTTTGAAGCATTAAAGAGTAATGTTTGCGAATTGATCTTGCAAAGAGAAGGTTAAGTAAAATTGGTAGCTTCTGACAACTATTAAAAAAAAGTCTGTAATTAAATATGCTTGCGTGAGTCAAGAGTGTAATCAAATAGCCTTTAGTTCATAAGACATACATATAGTTTTTTCTATATAGATATAGATTTCCGATGGTGAAGCACACATTAATAATAAGCACAATTGTCTTGATTTTGAGACTTAGTTAATCTTCAAAATTTAAGGGTTGAATAATATTTTGATTAGTCTACCAATTACATTTAGTTGATTCTTTAACCGTGAGATATATTTATTAAAAAAATCTTAGTAAGTAAATATTGAAAATAATTATAATAATAAAATGAAAACTATATGCGTTCGTTTTATTTATATCATAATCAATTACGAAGAACCAACGAAGCTGTAGAAAACATATATAAAATTTTCAGTCCCGCTACAGGTACAACATATTTTGACAACTTTGGTTTACAACCTGACGTGGCATTAAAACTGATGTGGGCCGTGTCATTAAAGTACAAAAGAAAGGAATTCACATATCATACACTTCTCACTCCCAAAGTCACCAATTTCAATCGATAATAATTCAAAGCCCTAAATTGGATCGATAATACTGTGGGCAAAATCTGCTCCGTCGCGCTCGCGGTCCTAGCAGCCATCTGTGGCGGACGGAGCCTCCACCACTCCCACCATGGCCTGGCCTACCAGGAAGCAAGAAGAGACCGTGGGTTGATTGTTAATCTGGAGCAGCCGGAGGCGAAGAACATCAGCGACACGTGGTGGAGCTCGCTCTGAGGGTCCGGTGCCGGCGGGGAGGTGCGCGACTCTGAATTGTAATGGGTGAGGGTCTCATCAACAATGGCCAAAAGGGCCTCGTTTCCGGCGCCCACCAGCTCGAGAATGATGTAGACTTTCTTAAAGGCGCCGGCATCGACCTCCTGTCCGAGGCTGATTCTCCGGAAGACGGCCGCGCTCGGGCCTTCGATTTCTTGTTGGTCCCAATTTTCGGGCAGATGGCCCTTGCGGACGGGCTTGTCCAGGACAATGGGCTAGTCGTGTCGTCCCTGGGGCTGGACCCATCGGCGGGCTGCGCCTGTTGAGCAACTACAGGATCGTGTAGGAGATTGGAGAGCACGGTGTTGGGCATGAAGAGGAGCGGGCCCGTGAAGAGCCCAGTGTGCGGGGCGACGTCGGAGGAGTCGAGGGAGGCGTTCAAGGGGCTAGAGGATGTATACCTGGAGCCCGTGAAGAGCCCAGTGTGCGCTGGGAGGAATATGAAATTCCTACCGGAGCTGGTGAAGGACGTTGAGTACCTAAGGCAGGTATTTGTGTCGGACGATTCGGGCGGTGGAGTGGTTATACGGGAACTACCCGACACATGATCAAGAATTTGCGGTGTACAGTATGGAGAAGATGGAAGTGAGGATGGAGGACTATCTTGTTTCTTGAGTGCAGAACCAGTGAGTGGACTGGGTGGATTTTCACAAGAAGCAGTAAATATGTTCCTTCGTTGTATGAAGAATGGGCTAAGGCCTATCCAATTCGAGTGAAATCGTGCTTCCAACTGAACTCGACCAAGTTGGCACACATATGTGATTATAGTTTACATGAGAAATTTAGGGTGATAATGGTGTTGGTAATGTGGCTGTTGTTGATATGTGACTAAGGTTGATATGGGAAACCTATAATGTAGATGAGGTTGATATGTTTTGGGGTGTCTGATTGTACTCTTGGGAAGTATATAATGCTTCAAACTTCGATGAAATATGATCATATGTACTGTTGGGATGCATATAATGTTTCACACTTTAATGAAATATGATCAAATGTATTCATAGTCAATGGTTGGTACTACTTGTTGAGGTTTTACAAATCTGCTGCTATATGATAATTATTGTAGAATAATTGGGTGTGTTTTTTGAGACTTAAATAGTTGATGAATGGAAAATAAGTTGAGAATGCTCATATATTCCTGGGGTTAAAGGGAGCAGGAAGGCATTTAGGCCTAAACTGCAAATTCAAAAAGAACAATTCACAACCCATGATTATCTGAAGGGTGCATAAAGGCTTGCCCTAAACTGAAAATTCCACAAGAAAATCCCACAAGCTAGGATTATTTGAAGGGAGCATAAAGGCCTAAATGCCTAAACTGAAAATTTCACAAGGGTTATATGAGGATTATCTACTTGATCTTTTTTATAAGATAAAATTAAAATTCCACAAGAAAATCAGAAAAAAATATCACCAGTATGCTAATTCTTTTACAAATGAAAATAAAGGCTACAAAGAGTGAAATTAAATGGAAGAGAAAACCTTAACCTAGAAACAAAGCAGAAATAATGATATTAACTCAACGGGAAACAAGTCACTACCAACAAAATTATACACAAAAATTCAAATAATTTTCTCTCAACTTGATTGACTAAAAGCCTCATTATCCAACTGTCTTCAACACTCTCATCCTCCATTTGATGTGGTGTACTGGTTGCAATATTGAATCACATTACCTAAAAAAATAAAACGACATAAGATTGAATAATTAAACATACACATTATAGCATAGAAATTAACATGTTAGAAAAATTGATTTAACCTTGAGAATTTAACTCCATAGAAGATTGATTTTCCACCTCAAATTCAACTCCAGTCTCCAATGCCAACATCTTACAAAATGAAAAAGAAAAACACAACACAACTAAGAAAAAACATTATATAATACCAGCAAGTAACATAAACTTAGTATTTGTTAGAGAAAAAGAAAAAAAAAAAAAGATGAAATAGGGGAAAACTGAGATAACAATTAAGAGAATAGTGACTAATTCTAATAAAAACTGTAAACACCATGGCTCAACTGCAAACACCATGGCTCAACAGAAACATCCCATAAAGCAACAGACTTCAAATTGACTTCTTTATTTTGTTTTTATTTCATATATCATTAGATAAAAGTTGCATATGTTTCTGAATTATGGTTATCTTAACATTTTCGAATGAAATAATTTTAAACAATTAATCAAGAACTAATAACAAAATTAGACCTTTGGCTCATTTGTGTGCTTGATTAACTCTTTTGTAAGCCCTTTTCCTCTATTAATTGAAGGCACCTGCAAATACATAAAACAATAAAACAATGAAAAGAAAACACAAAAGTGATTTTATAGTATTTCATTTAACTATTGTGAATATACATAAAGATACCTCATTCTTCTTCTTTTTTTTATTTGAAGTCGACTCTAACGGACCTTTTTTACGGACTTTTCTTGGTGCACCCTTTCTTTTTGTCAACTTCGGATCTCCAATGTCAATGCTACATGGAGTTTTGAACCTAGCAGGATCATTGCAAATATTTTTTTCACCAATATGTTTTAACATAGAAAGTTCTTGTGCTTGCAATTGGATCCATTCCATAATCAGCCCGGCTCGAACTTCATCGTCTGCGGCAAGGTCTGCGACCTTGGCAAAAGCTGTGCACAAATTGTCGTACCTCAATTGTCCCGGTGAATTCCTCAATCCGTCATATTTCAAAGCAATCCTCGTGTATGGTCTCCTGACATCCTTTCTCCATCTATGTAATATATATTGATCAGGAAGTCTAGAGACGTCATTACGAATAAGTACTGCAATTGAATGTCGGCATAGAATACCCCGGAATTCAAACAGATGACAACTACAAACAACTTCACATTTGTCCCTATTGAAAGAGACAAAAAATGATTTCTTCTTGCGCTGGTGGTCACAAAATAAATCCTCCCTGACCTCGTAAGTTGTCCCAGAACAACCTTCTGAAGAAGAAATGAGATCACAGTAAACTTTACCCACAAACTCGGCTTGGATTTCTTTAAATTTGGAAATAGTGTACACTGTTTGGAATTGCTTTTCCATCTCATATGTTGTTGCACATGGGACTATTTGGGAGAATGATTTAAAATCAGCCTGAACCTCCTTTTCCACCTTGTTTCTCAATGCTCTTTCATATTGTTGAACGAACTGTTTCAGTGATGTTTTCGAGTGGACGTACTCATCGAAAAATGCATTCATGCTTTCGCTTCGTTGAGTAGTTGACATTCCAGCCCAAAAAGAGCTTTTTAGAAAGCATGGAACCCAAAGACTACGGTTCTCGTACAATCCCGACAACCATTCATTGTCATACAACGCATACGTTGTTGTCATTGACTCCCAACCTTTTTCAAATTCTTCAACCGTTTGAGAGTCATACACCAATTCATGAATTGTTGAAAAAATTGAACCTTTATCGACATGATATCCAAACTTCTCAGGCAATTTTTTTAAAATGTGCCACAAACACCATCTATGTCTCGTCTTGGGGAAAACAATCCGAATGGCATTTTGCATTGCTCTGTCTTGATCAGTTATAATCCCTTGAGGAGCTTGACCATGCATACACTTAAGCCATGTCCGAAAAAGCCAAACGAAGGTATCCGTATTTTCATTCGAGATCAAACCGCAACCTAGAAGTGTTGACTGTCCGTGATGATTAACACCAACAAATGGTGCAAAAGGCATGTCATATTTGTTAGTCAAGTAGGTTGTATCAAATGTGACGATGTCCCCGAACTCTATAAGCTTCTCTACTTCGATTATCTGCCTAAAAAATATTCCGTAAACGAGAATCATCATCCAGATCCATGCAGAAGAAAAATCCAGCACACCTTGCTTGCATATCTGAAAAATATGATTGTATTGCCGCTGCATCCCCCTCTCCAAGGCTTAACCGTCTAAATTTTTCGATATAGTTACGGCAATCCTTCTCGACAAATGTCATATTATCGTATCCACCCGCTTCAACTACAGCAGAATTAAAGCTTTTATGCAATGGAATTCCGGCCACGTCATTCACTTCAAGCCTTCTCTTTACACTTGCACTCAATTCTCTATGACATCGATATAATCTCGACTTAGTTGGACTGCATTTGTGATTATGTTCGAGGCTCACTGTGTTAATTCTCCAATAACCACGATCATCTAAAGATGCCGAGATTCAAGCTTTACAGTCTGTCTGGGTTGTTGGTTGCGACCTCAATGAGCCCCTTGTGCCACTCATTCTTTTTCCTTCACGACTACATGTGAAAGTAACATATCGTAAAATACCATCATCATCCTTTCTCGAATTTCTTTTTCTCACTGGAAAACCGACACTATAAGCATAATTTTTATAGAAATCAAAGACGTCGTCTATATCTTTGAATTCCATACCAGCCTCCGGAGCACCTATATTCATATTACAATCTGTATAAACGTTTTCAATTTCCAGCGACAATTCGTTCTCACCTTCTTCCATTACGACATATGAAGATGTCTGGTTGCAGATGGCTGCTCACGGTGTCTTACAGTTTCCTGATAGATTAGGGATTTTGGTAATGACGGTTTAGTTGCAAATTATTTTGTTTTCTATTTAATTTTTATTTTATTTCTGTATGCAAAATAAAACTGAAGAAGTAATATACATGACATGTCAATTTTTGCCACATCAGTTTGTAAATAAAAGTTGTAAAGAGAAGTTGTACGCCCAGCATTTTCCTAAAATTTTCTAGGAATATGAACTACCCAACCCAAAACAAATATGCTTATGAAAAACCAAAACATTAATAAATCGTCTATTAATAAATAGACTTATACTTTTTATTCATCCACTTTTGCTTTTCCCTTTGCGTCAGTACTGCCCGATTCTTCATTCAATTCCTCACAAAGGTTGATAAGCCCGCAATCAAGCTAGGATTTCCTCCTCAACAGCAACATTCAAAATACATACCAATTTGTGAGTAAACATATATGATCACCAATAATGTTAAATAAAATAGAACTCTGAACATAATTGAATATTATATTGTACCATGTCATTGGTAATTTCTGCTCCTAGCAACCGAGTGATGAAATCAGGTTCCTACGACCTACGTGAACAAACAAATGATTGCAAAGTTAATATCTTTTAAGGTTTCATCATAAAATCGGTTTTGATAGAACAAACTTAGCTAAAAAAATATAATTAATACGTACATTAAACATTTTTTGTGTAATAGTTTATTAAAAGCAATTCTATTATAGACTAAGATAAAATCGTTTATTTTGAAAAATAGTTATATGTATATTTTTATTAAAATGTAATTTAATTATAAAAAATAAGTAAAATGTATAAAAAAAGGGTATATAAACACAATTTAATAGAAAAGATTATATCACATGAAATATGAATTTTCATATTGCACACACGCGTTAATTAAACATACACAAAATCTGGATTTCAAAAAAATTCAAACAAAAATAAAGAAAATACAATGCCAATATATATAGTTTATCGGATTTTACTTATTATACCTCGTCAGTTTCATAAATAGAATCAACTTGGGCCGATCTTCAACTTCGTCATTCTCAACATGTCTACCATTGAATACCAATTGCACATTGCCCATGTTGTCCTCATAAAACTTACAGTACAACATGGATTATAGGGATTATATGTCAATCATATAAATAATCTTATCAAATTCATTAGTAATAGTAAAGCTCAGCCTCGTCACAAATTCGCGAATTTCAGGAACAAATTGTCCAACAATTATCTTGGTGACATTCCTCTCGATCGTCAAATGAACTTTCACTAAAACATTGCAAAATAAAAATAATTCAATGACAAATTAAACATATGTATGATGTAGTGTATGCTATTTCAATACCTCCGCAGGGCTTTGTAAACAAACAATGAACAGTGAATTTATAGGAGAAGGCCAAGGTATATTTTAGTTTAATTCCATAAATAAGTGATATGAAAATATCTTAAGAAAAGCAACAATTATAAATTGATTCAATAGAATATTACAATTGATATGGAATATGTAGTAATGATTTGCTCCAATTTGACACAATAATCTGTTTATTTTTACACGGCCATCAATTATATTCTGATTTACTAACATTTAGGGATATGGTTAATTTTACAAATTAATTTTAGTTACACATTTATTAAAATATTTGTATAATCTAACTTTTAAACCTTTTGTAAATAATTGAAGATTTGGCAAACCAATTGTTGTAAATAATTGAAGAATTTATCTCAAAATCACGATTTAATTAAATTCTTTTGTAATAATTCATGTTGCAATTAATTGTGATTAAGTTTTTCATGATAAAACGTCTATGATATATAATTTTGCAGATCATGCAAAGGAATTTTGAAGATCATTGAATAGATATTGTTTTATAATTGTGATTATATAAATCTTTTATAATTGTTTTATAATTCATGATAAATCTTATTTTATTTATTTCTTGTAACAACTAAGAATGAAGATTCATTAGCCGCATTTTTTGACTGATTGGTTTTATAATGTACAGATTTTATTGATTTGTTAATTGAATCTTATTTATTTATTTCCTTATCCGTTTGTAATAATATAAAATGAAGATTTATTAGCCATTTTTTTAGTGTATATTATGGGTAGATTTCCTTGCCTTTTTTTTGCCGTTTGTAACATAACACTGCCTCAAATAGTCGGTAATGAATCTCATACAGATTTTAACGACTTTTGAAATTCAAATTTATCAATTACCGCTAATTCTTGAATTAGTTACTAATTAAAGTAAAAACGAATTATATAGGCGGGAAAATAGTTACTTTTTCAGGTAAATGTCAAACCTTTTTATATTTATATAGATATAGATATAGATTCATCCAAAGCCAAACAAAAATTCTTAAAAAAATTGTCACATAGGATCCCGTGTGAACTTGCCACTTAGGTTGAGCACATGTTAATTATACATATGAGAATGAGATTAAAGAACATTAAAGAGGAAAACAGTATTGTCTTTCCAAAAGATTAGAAGTCTTGAGCCCAATAAATTAGGAGCCCAAATGCAAATAGTAGCCCATGCATCATTTTTAACCCTAATGTCACATATAAAATCATCAGGCCCACCATTTCTCAACTGTTCTCGCTTCAAAAACCCTAGCTGTGAAGTGAAGCTCAGACCTTTGGCACCAGAGAGGGAACGATTTCCACCAGCAGCACTTGCCATGGTATCGTTAAATTTTCTATCTTTACCGTTTTGCTGGCACAATTTTGTTCAGTTCCTCGTTTTTCTTGGGTACATTTTGGTTATAAACATGGTTGAACCTGTGTTGTGCAGGCGGACGTTGAGACTGATGTTGCCGGACAGCCGGTAAAGAAGAGAACGTTTAAGAAGTTCAGCTACAGAGGTACTGATCTTGATGCGCTCCTCGACATGTCTACAGAAGAACTCGTCAAGCTCTTTCCTGCTCGTCCCCGCAGAAGGTTTGCTCCAATTTGTAGTGTATTGTTTCACCTGATTAACTTCAATTCTTCAATATAAATTTCTGTACAATTATTGATGTTTATAACTCTTTCAATCTGTGGGATACCTTGTTGATATTATGATGTGTGGCTTTCTGTAGCTCTTTAGTTGTATGAATCATATAGTGTGCACTAATCTTATTTTCTTGTGCTTCTACTGGTTACAAGCTTTTGCCTCTGTGGCTGGTATACGTTTTCACGGTTCGTGGCTTGTTTTTTTTATTGATCTTACGTGACGTCGGGGTAATGCACAGGTTCAATAGAGGTCTGACGAGGAAACCTATGGCTTTGATCAAGAAGCTAAGGAAGGCAGTAAGTGATCAATGAAATGAGATATTGCTGAGATGTTGTTCTATTGGTTTCATTTTGTCTGCCTTGAATCATGTTTTCATTTATTTCACTAATTTCACTTCTTTTTTTTTTTGTGTGTGTGTGTTCTGATTCCGGGATTAGTCAATGTATCTATATGTTATGATCAACGCTTGTCTTACTTCATTTACCTTTTGTATCATTTATAATGCTCATTTTTCCTTTTGCCGTTTGTTTTCACTTTTCACTCCTTTCTATTTATTTTTTCGTTGTCATTTTTTTTCTAGGCAAATTTGCCCCTATTATTACGAACTTTATCGAAGTTGCAATTTAATCATGACCTTTTCACTTTTGCAAATTATATCATAGTTATTTCCTACTCCTCCTTAGTTATTTCCTACTCCTCACTTATTTCCTATTTCCCACTTTTTTCTTTCCTACGTCTGAAGACAGTTAATAGAGAAGTCATAGAAAAGCTGATAGAAAAGTTGATGTGGTCGAATGTCTTCGAATAACATAGTTTGCACGGGATATGTAAATCGGTCAACCAATTTGCAACAAACTGAAGATTGTGATATGATTTGCAAAAATGAAAAAGTCGTGATTAAATTGCAATTTTGAAAAAGGTCAAAGGGAAATTTTGCCTTTTTTCTATCCCTCAAATCATTGGTATAGAGATTCAAGTTGTAACTAAAACTAAGTGCTACTATAACAAATTTTGCAGAAACGTGAGGCCCCAGCAGGTGAGAAGCCTGCCCTCATCCGGACCCACCTGCGAAACATGGTTATTGTACCTGAGATGATTGGAAGTGTACTTGGTGTGTACAACGGCAAGACTTTTAACCCAGTTGAAATCAAGCCCGAGATGATTGGCCATTATCTAGCTGAGTTCTCGATATCTTACAAGCCAGTCAGGCACGGTAGGCCCGGTATTGGTGCTACCCACTCATCCAGGTTCATCCCTCTCAAGTGATATTCAGACAACACATGGGAGAAAAGAAGCTACACATGGGAGAAAAGAAGCGTCACTGATGGTGTGGTCCTGGATTGGTTATCTTGGTATGTTATTGTTGAGGTGCTGGGATTTAATTTTGTTATGTCACTGGTATGGGAACACTGACTTGCATCCTTACTGATGGATTAATGTATTTTGTTTGATTTTATCAGATATTGTTGAATTTTAAACTCTTGTTATTTGTTTCAAGTTTTTAATGCCCTAGAGTTGGGACAGCATTGGAATTATGTTATGTGGTGCTACTGATTTTTTGTTACTAATATTATGTGATGGTAGCATTTGTTATAATGCAATTGCTTAGGGTGTGATGGTAAAAGAATTCAAACCGACAAATTAATTTATGCTCAAAACTTAACTAAATTTTAACTCAATCCAATTATTCTTAATATTATCGATATAATTAAATAATAACAATTGATCATTAAACAATAACAACTAATCAATTTTACACATCATATCAACTTTAATTTACTATTTATTCATTCACATAATTTTAACTGACCATCACTTCATATCATTTTTCTCATACTTCTACGTCAAATCGATTTAAATTATTTTATTTTAAGTATTATTTTAATATGCTCTCAAAATTTTACTAATTGTCTAAACTAACCATAGTTAACTAAAAAAACTCACTTTGATTTAACTTGATTGAATTTATCATTTTACAAACACACTCTTGTTGTATTAAATAAATACAAAAAAAAAAGTCTGCTTTGGTTTGGGCTATGTTTGGTAAAACTAGCTGATAAACTAACTGATAGCTGATAAGCTAGCTTATAGCTTATGACTTATAGCTGATAAGCTAGCTTATATGATAAAAGTGTTTGGCAAAATTAACTGATAAGCTAGCTGAACTAAAAAATTCAACTAGCTTATTTAAAAAGCTACCTTAGGTAGCTTTTCAAATAAGCTCGAGCTTTTTAAAAAAGCTCGTCCTACCAAACGAGACTTATTTGAATACAGGGAGCTTATAAGCTAATCAAATAAGTTATAAGCTAGCTTATTGGTCTACTAAACATAGCCTTGGTTGGTGGGGGATGAATACTGAATAGCAAATCTTAACATGCATTTGTTTATTGTGGCGGTTATTAAATAAAAAATGGTAATGTGTGTGTTGGGGTGAACATCATGTAGTTCAGTGCAAAGTCGCACTGAATTGCAAAAATTTGAAAACAGCAATTTACATTTGTTCAAATCGAATCGAATTTGGAGTAAAAATTTGAACGAAAACAACACCGAAATTTTTGGTTTGGTTCGGTGTAGTTTTGGCTAATTGCAAATAACTAAAAAAAAAAAAAAAACATCCAAAATATATCAGTTTGACAATTTCCATAGTCAATTCCAAATAAAACAAGCAAAATAAACATTCATCCAAAGTAAACATATCATAATAGCACTAACAAACAACCATCCAACTTTCAAGTTTAAGTTTTCAAATTCAAAATAAAACTTTCAAGTTCCAAACAAACATAAACAACTAAATTTATCCAAACTAAAATCTCCAATTGCATCATTGAATCCAATTTCAAGTTATGTGTCCAGCAGACTCCAATTCAGTAGCAGATAGTAACTCTTAATAAATAGAATAACCAGACAGCAGGACACCAAATAACTCATAGAATGTAAAAATAAAACATAACATATGATGAGTAAATATAGTACGATAAACATAACGAAAAGTATATTTACCACTCGGTTCTTATTCCTCCATTGTGTTCTCGTTCATATCATTAATTCCAACCCTTTGCATAGCAAAATGTTGTAGAAAATAGTATTAAACATTTAGTTAATGAGTGCAAGTAATATAAATCACTATTAATGTCAAATTGCAATGCATTAAAGTACTTTCCATCCATTGTTGAATGCCATTTTGACTCTCCTTAAGCCTTTGATATATGATACCATACCAGGTCGACTTAACCTTAGACACAATTTGGTTGAACTGAGTGAACCGACAAGACAGAGACCAAAGGCGATGCAGGTCGAAGAGTCCTCAGGTCGACGAGGACGTCCTGGATCCAAAGAGCACATACATGTCGATCTAAAGCCTTTGGACTGGTTGGTCGATCCCAGAGGTGGGTCATGTTCGTATTCAAAAAATCAGCATGATTAAGGCTTTCGAGTTTGGTGGTCGTTTGTTTGAACGTCCCTAGCAGAGGATCGGGCAAGTGTCGAAGGAAAAAATCTAACATGATTAAGGCATTCGTGTTGGTTGGTCGACCCAGATGAGGGTTGGGCATGGATCGAAGACAGAAAATCCAACATGATTAAGGTCTTCTAGCTGGCTGGTCGACCCCAACAGTGGGGAAGGAATGTTTCACAATCGAGATATACGTTATAATCGAAGTTAACGCAGTTACCATGTTTCAAAATGCAAAACTTGACGACCTCAGTAGAAGGTCCAATACACACAACGAATGGCGAAATTATATCTAAGTATGAAGTTGATTTAGGAGACCTCAGCGACGTCGAATAACTAAGGTGACTTTACTGTTAAAATTGCAAATTTTTTCTAAGTATGACGTCATTGTGGAGACCTCAGTGGACGAGTAATTAAGGTAATTTTTACTTACAAATTTTACGAAGTGTTGAATCAATTGTTGAGACCCCAATGGAGGGTCGATTGAAATTTTCCAGTATAAACCACATATTTCGACTAAGTAAAAAAGATTAGAGTATGACAAGAAGAAAAAAAAAAAA